AGGGGAGGGTTTCTCTGAAATGCTGCTTCAGCGGCCGTGAGAAAAGGCCACTGGCGGGGACACACCTGCCGAGCAACACCACGAACTCCCCTGGGCACACAGGGGCGCCCCCGGGGGTGCGGGAGACCCAGGACCCCTACGAGGGCAGCAATGGCCTTCTGCCCCCCGGCCCCCCCCCCCCGGGCAAGAAGTGACCCCGCTGGAAGCCTCAGAGAAGCCGGTGGGCGCGTCACAGACACACGAGCGGGGTCCTGGGTCTCAGAGGAACACTCAGGCGGGGCGGCCAGAGGGCCGCGCAGGTGAACCGAGGGTTTGGAATGAGCCTCGTGGCAGCCGTGGAGGAAGCCTCAGAGGCAGGAGCCCGAGGTGGGAGGCAGGAGCCCCGGGGTGGAAGCAGGAGCCCGGGGTGGAGGCAGGAGCCCCTGGGGTGCACGCTCCCTGGGGACCTACCTGTGTCCTGCCGTCCAGAGAGGAGCAGACGCGGCCTCCAAAGGCGCCGACAGGTGAGCCCAGGGCGCAGGTCTGGCTGCCCCTGGAGCCAACAGGAGAAAAGCTTTTAGGGGCGTCTGGGGCTGGGCCGGTCCCTGAGAAGCTTCCTGGTCATCCTGTCTGTGACCCCTCCCGGCCCCGCCTGGCCTGCCTTCTCCCCCCGCCCCCGGAGCTGCACCCCACCCTCGGGCGTGAGCCCCACCCAGTGGCCCCCTAGGTGCATCCTGGCCCGGGGGCGCGGGCTGTTTTCTTGATACAAATAAATCTTCCATGTTAAAATTCTTTCTTTTTTTACTGAGGCAACGCTGGCTCGCGCTGCTGTGGGTATTTGGGGAGCAGGACCCCCCCATGTCACTGCTGAATCTCTACCGGCACAGCCACCCCCCCCCCAGCGGGCACCCCGCTGCTTCCTCGGGAGGGCTGTCCCTGCGGCCCCCGCTCTGCTCTTTTGGGGACTCCCCCTGCTGCACCCCACAGGGCTGGCACGACCCCGAGAAATCAGGATGGAGATCAGGGCGGGGTCCGCGCTGCGGGAAGGCAGGAGCGTCCCGACCCAGGTGGCCCCCCTGTCCCTCCCGCCCGGGACGGCCCGGGTCGCCCTGGGTGAGGCGGGGTCTTGGCTGCGTCTTTAATACCCGCACCCCCCCCACCCCCTGCCTTCCGGGCTCGGGGGCGCGGGGATCATTGGGAAGACGAGCCGCGCCCCGCGCTCCCCCTGCCCTCGGGCCGCCGGCGGGTGCGGGGTCGAGACCTCCCAGCCGCGGGGCGGGGAGCCTGGCGGGTGGGGCGCCGCTGAGCGCCCCCAGCGAGTCACCGCCCGCCCGCCGGGCCGCAGTGGGTGGGGGGCACAGCAGCCTCCGCGCCCTCTGGGGCCCTCCGGCCTCGCCCCGGCCCCTCGCCCGCAGCCCCTCTGCACCCCGCGCCTGCGGCCTGGGGACCCCCGGACCCGGGGACCTCCCCCCATCCCCCTCCCCCGAGCTCCCCCTTCCAGACCGCGGGGTTTCGCTGCGGTTTCCGGCGCCCCCTGGGCCAGCGCCAGCCCCAGCGCTCCGGCGGGGGCGCTCACGACTCCCCGGACGGCCTCAGGGCCCGCGCGCGGGGGAAGCAGCGCCAGGCGGGGAGGCCCGGCCCGGCCGGCCGAGAAGCGGCCCCAGCGACCTCCGGGCCAGGGGGGGCCCTGGGCGCTCGCGGCGCTCGCCACGCTGCGCCCCGGCGGGTGGGGCCGGCCCCTCCCTCTTCTGCGCCGCCGCGTGCGCCCCAGGTGCGCCCCAGGTGCGCCCACCTGCCCGCCGCCGGCCGCCCGCGGCTCAGGACACGCCCAGCGCCCGCGGAGGTCCTGGGGTGCGCCTGCTTCTGGCCGAGAAGCCGCAAAACTGCGCGCTTGGGGGGAGGGGAGGCCCCACTGCGGCCCGGCCGGCTTCCACACCAGCGACAGCGGGGTCCTGTTCCAGCGCCCCAAAATCCACCTCGGGGTCCGCCAGTGCCGGCAGGGGTAGCGAGCAGGTGCGGGGGCCTGCCCCAGCCCGAACCCCTGAGCGCGTTGGACGCCCCCAGACTTCGAGGCCCCACCTGCAGGCACCCACGGTCCACCAGAAGCCCCGGGGCGGGCGCGGGCGAGCGCAGGCGGCTGAGGCCGTAAGACGCTCGTGGTAATCAGGAAGGGAACCGCCGACACCCCATAAAGCCCAAACACGCAAACCCCCAGGCGCCGGGAGCAGAGGGGTCCCCCAGCCGCGCCGGGAGAGCTCCTGCGGGCGCCCCAGGCCGCGGCGGGGCAGCCACTGACGGGGCAGAGGCCGAAGGACCCTCGTCTGCAGCGGCCTCACACCCAGGGCTGCGCCCCCCGCACCCACAGAGGGGTCGGGGTGACACCCGACCCGCCGGCTCCCGCACCGCAGGGGGTTCTCCTGGGGGGGTGCTGAGTTACCCCAGGCCTGGGCCCCTGCTGCGGGCAACTCCCATGGGGAACATTTTGCACATTTCCAGGGGAGCACCTGCCCTCACAGCGCTGGCTCCCCCCTTCAGGGGCGGGGCTGGCGCTGGAGGCCCCCAAGGGACGATCCTTCCATGTCCTCGCCAACAGGGGAGCCGGGTCTGCTCTCACCAGGGGAGCCTGGGCCGAGGGGCCACGCCCCAGGAATGTGCCCCAGACCACACACGCACTCGCACGCCTCACACACCTCGTGTGCACACGCGCACGCAGACACACACACGCAGGCACGGCTGTGACGCGCAGTGAATGGCAAAGCAGCTGGGGATGCAGCGAATGTCCCCAAACGTCTCTAAACGCCGCCCTGATGGCTGCGCGGGCATGTCCAGGTGAAACCGGGTGGGACACGCCGGGGAGGCCGCGGGCAGCGGGCGGGGCACGTGCCGGAAGGACACACGCGGGACACCAGCCCGGAAGCTCAGAGCGCGTGTCCGGGAGCCTGGACCCCTCCATTTCTTCCACAAGCCACGCCGCGTAACATGCGGGGGGAAGCACTGAGTCCTCCGGGAACCACTGCACGTAACGGGGTCCCTCTGCCCCCAGCTCCCTGGCCAGCAAAGTGCTAAAAAAATCCCAATAGAAACGATCAAAATATAATCCCAAAGTGCTCGCGCGGGACAGGGGGTGAGTGAGTGAGGCGGGGCTGCCCCTGCGGGGGGCTGACGTGGGTCCACACGTGATTATTCTTTTAAGATTTATTTACGCCAGCGCTGGGGTGCAGGCCAGAGGTGCAGGGGAGGGGGGTGAGAGGACTCCCCAGAGACAGAGCGGGGAGCAGAACAGGCGGATCCACTGAGATCCACTGCCGAGGGGAGCAGCGGGGAGGCAGGAGGGGTCTGCTGCGCCCAGTGGGCAGCTCCCTGGCCGGGGGTGGAACTGGAGCTGCAGAGGCTGCCGACGGCTCCCTAGTGCAGGGACGTAACCCCTGTGCCGCCAGGGAGACCCTGATTTTCTTGTTTAAAGGCAGTCCACAGACGCCTCAAAAGATTAAGGCGGAGACCCTATCTGGCCCAAGGACCCCACTCCTGGGTATTCAGTGGACGCTGCTCAGCGGCCGGGAGGGCCCGCCGCAGGGGTCCTGGGAGCGCCGGTGCGGGGGTGTCGGAAGCCGCGGCCCGCGGCCAGGATGCTCGGCCTGGCCACTCCGTCCCCGGGGCGCACTCAGCCGCCTCGGGGCCTGCACGCGTGGGGAGGCCCAGGAAGGACCCCCGAGGGAAGGCGACCCCTGGCGGGCGCGGGGTGCCCACAGCTGCCTGAGGCGGGGGGCCTCGCTGGTCGGGGGAGCCCGCAGCCGGGACGGGACCCCGCGTCGGCCAGCGGCATGGCGAGCTGCAGCGGAGGCGCGAGCAGTGACACGGCAAGTTTCCCTTGGGCGCCCGCAGGCGAGACGCGGGAAGCCGAGGGCCCGGCCCACCCGGGGAGGCGCAGCGGGCGGCAGGGCTGGCCCCGGGCTCCCGAGGCCGCCCCTGCGCGGACAAGTCCCAGGTGGCTGCCCCTGCGCCCCGCGCCGGCCCTGGGGCGCGGCCAGCGAGTCCACTCCTTCCCGGGAGCAGAACTCACGCTTGCCCGAGCGCGCCGCGGAGGCCGGGTGCGCCCGCGTTCCCGCCGTGCTCAGCCGACGAAGACAACGAGGAGCACCTGCTGCTTTTCCACAGCGCGGGACGCCCCTTGGGCGTCGCCCTCGCAGCGCTGGAGAGACGGGGGTGCCTGTTGGCCCCCAGGGACCCCGGGATCCTTCACCCGCCTGCAGGGCTCGAGGGCCCCCGGGCAGAGCCGGCCACCCCCTGGCGAGGTGATTTAGGCCCAGACGCCCCACGAGGCCCGCCCAGGCCCGAGGCCGGGTCCGCTCGGCCAATCGGCGCCGCCCGCAGGCTTTTTCCGGTGGGGGTGGCTGCTCCTCTCGCAGCCGCCCCGCGCTCCTGCCCGCGCTGCTGTCCGGCTCCACCCGGACCCACGAGAAGAGGGCTCTGCCGGTTCTTGGGGGGCCTGCCGGCGGGGGCGCGCTGCTCCCTCCTGCCCCAGGCCGCGCCTCCCCAGCGAGAGTCAGGCCGGGAGCGGCAGGTGCGCTCATTTCCCTCCCGGCCACCGGGGAGGGGCCGGGAGGAGGGCGAGGCAGAGGGCAGGGGCAGGAACCCGGGCGAGCTGGGGGGCCCGGGGAGGCTGGCGGGGAGACTGGGGGCCGAAGCCATCAGCCTGCAGGCGCGACGGTCCGGGCTGGCGGCGCCCCGAGGAAGCTCCCGGCCGCACCCGGGGTCTCCTGCCTGAGCCGCTGCTCTCGGGAGCCGCAACCCCCAAAGCACACGCCGGGCCTGAGCCCGCGGCTGAGCCAGGGCGCCAGCCGGGGTGTTGTGTCCATCCGTGCGGGGGCCACGCTGGCAGGGGCGCCAGGGCGGCGGCCGAGAGCTGGCCCGTGGGGCTCCTTCTGTCCCGGGGCTCCCGGGCCGCGGGGTTCATCTGGGGTGGGTCGGTGTCGCCCCGCCCGCCCCTCAGGTCCACTTTTCTGGCTCAGGGACCCCCCGGGGCCACTGGCCGGCCCGCACACCATGGCCGCGTCTTTCTTCGCCGACTTCGGCCTGATGTGGTACCTGGAGGAGCTCCGGAGGGAGGAGTTCAGGAAATTCAAGGAGCTCCTCAGGAGCGAGCCGCCGCCCCCGGGGCGCAGGCAGGTGCCCTGGGCCGAGGTGAAGCGGGCCGCACGCGAGGGCCTGGCGGAGCTGCTGCGGCGGGAGTACGGGGAGCAGGGCGCCTGGGCCGTGACGCTGCGCGTCTTCCAGAGGATGAACCGCCAGGACCTGTGCGCGAAGGCCAGGAGCGAGGGCACAGGTGCGCGGGGGGGGGGGGGGCTGGGGGCGGGCTGTCCCCCAGGGAGGACCTCGCCGGGAGCCGGAGCCGGAGCGAGCCCTGCGCCGCCAGTGTCCCCCGCGTTTAAACAACACAGTATGTGGGGACCCGCGCGTCCCGGCGGGGCGGCCTGGACGTCACCCGGCGCTGAGAGCCCCGCGGGGTGGGCTCAGCAGCGGGCCGGGGCCGGGGCGCGGGGCGTTACCAGCCACGGGCTGAGAGGAAGCGCTGCATGGAGGGGCGCTGGGGTAACTGCACTTACTCGAGGAGAAAGTCCCTCTCGAGTGCGGGGGCTCCCCGAGGTTTCCAAGCCGCTCTCTTACTTCACGAGTCAACAAGCCAAAGGTGAGCAGCGTTAACTCCCCAGTCCCCGCGCTCCTGGCCCAGGGGGCCCAGACGCCTTCACGCGGGAGGCCCAGCCGGCCGGGCTGCGGCTGTGCTTGCGCGTGGGGGGCGGTGCCGTCCAGCTCTCGCCGCCCAGCCTCGGGGCACCACCCCCTCTCCGAGCTGAGCCCGGTTTCACATGAGCCCCCCCTGAGCCGGGAGGAGGAAGTGGAATTACACGTGCCGCTGACCTTCTTTTCTCCGAGGCCTCCCGCACCGGCCTCCCTGCTGGCGCGCGGCCGCCGCCTTCCCAGTCTGTCCCGCTACCACCCAACTCGAGACGCTGTGTCCCCTGGGCTTTCCTTCCCACGGAGACCGCCCTTCCGCGGTCCTTGTGAGGCCGGGGGTGGTCGCCTCCACCAGCAGGTGGCTTCGGGGAGAGCTGCTCTTTCTCCGTCACGTCGCCGCTGGTGGTTCAGCTCCTGAGCGTGTCAGGACATCAGTCCACGCTCTCCTCACTGGCCTCTGCGGAGGAGCCTGAGGAGGGCTGACGGGGGCGACCCGTTTTTCATCACCAACTTGGTAACTTCACAGCGATGTGTCGTGGGCGTCCCCGGGTTGTTGCTGGTTTTCCCTTAGCAGTGAGCCACTGCACGGTGACGTCTTCCCTGAAGAGTGAGGAGTGTTTTGCTCCCGTCTCTGCACCTCTGGGGTACCCATTATCACTGGCTTTCCCCCTTTTAATGAAGCCTGATATTTGAAGTGTGAGTGAGACGCATCCCTGCACGCTACACTTCCACCTGCAGCCCCTCCCACGGCCTGGGGACCTCACGGCACCCCCACAGAGCCAGTCCAGTCTCTCCTTTGTCGACAACTGACAAACCTGATGCCCAGGGAGACTGTCCTTCCCCCAACAGTGAAATTCTGAAGCGCAGGTGCCAGTGGAGTCCACCACCCTTCTACGGTCTGTTTTGGTTTAATTTAGTCGGCTCCTTTGTTCCGTTTCTTTTTTTTTTTTAATGTTTATTTATTTATACAAGCACTAGGTTACAGTCAGAAGTGGGGAGGGTAAGAAATTCACCAGAGCCAGAAACAGAACAGGCAGACTGACAAAATACACTGCTGAGGGGAGCAGCGGGCGAGACAGGAGAGGTCTGCGCGCCATGTGGGACCCTCGCCGGGGGCCGGGGATCAAACCGGTGCTGCAGCGGCTGTGGCAGCTTCGCAGCCCAGCCCTCAACCGCTGCGCCACCAGGGGAGGCCCTGTTCTGTTTCTTTATAGTCCACATAGGAGTGAAACCATGTGATATCTTCCTCCTCTGACATCTTTCACTTAGTCACCCCCTCTATTTCCATCCATGTTTCAAATGGCAAGACCTTGTCCTTTTTCATTGCTGAGTAGTATTCTGTTGTGCCTGCAGGCCACATCTTGATCCACTCCTGTGGCTTAGTTATCGCCACAGTAACTCCATAACTTAGTTATTGTAAACAGTGCTCAAGTGGACACAGGCGTGCACAGAGCCCTTCAGATTATTTTTGTAAACATTCATCGCAAAGAAAAGTGACTTAGAAGACATAATTAAAAAGTAAAACCCCAAAGTATTAAGGTTTTTCACTATTACGAGTTTGCTTTAAATGTTTGTTCTAGCCATGCCATGTATTACAGAAGGACATGAACAAAATAAAAACCACATTTTGCAGGGGAAAAAAATAAGACTTTTTTAAAAAGCGTCTGCTAATGGCAGCACCTAACCTGCTTGACCTGCACCCGGGATTTTTAGCAGCCAAGGATCCGCTGACACGCCACTGTCTTGTCCACAGAACAGGCCGTGGACCAGCGCCGGCCCATGGGTCCAGCTGCAGGTGCAGGCGGACACCGGGCTTTCTGGGCGTGTCTGTCTGTGCGTGCGTGTTCTAATCTGGGTGCTGGGCCCTCTGTCCCCCTGCCCCAGGACACGCCAAGGCCTACCAAGCCTACATCAAGGAGAAATTCGGCGTTTTCTGGGCCAGGCAATCGGCCACGATGATTCAAGATTTCTTAAGCCAGGACGCCAACCAGCGAGACTGCGAGTGCATGGAGCACTTCTTCAGCCCCCAGGAGCCCGAGGCGGGCGGGCAGACGGTGGTCCTCAGGGGCATGCCGGGCATCGGGAAGACCACGCTCCTGGTCAGGCTGATGGTCGTCTGGGCCGAGGGCAGGATCTACCGGGACCGCTTCTCCTATGTTTTCTACCTGTCCTGCTGGGAAATGAAGCAGTGGCCGGCCACCAGCTTGGCCGAGCTCATGTCCAAGGGCTGGTCCGACTCGCTGGCCGCAGTGGAGGAGATTTTATCCCAGCCTGAGCGGCTCCTGTTCATCATCGATGGCTTCGAGGAGCTGGACTGCGACCTGAAGGAGCCCGAGGCCGCGCTGTGCCGGGACTGCCTGGAGCGGCGGCCAGCGGCCACGCTCGTGAGCAGCCTGCTGCAGAAGCGGGTGCTCCCTGGGGCCTCGCTGCTCGTGGCCACCACCTCCGAGCGCCTGCAGGACATCGAGCACCAGCTGCACACACCCACCATTAGGCTGCTCCTGGGCTTCACCACCAGCGAGGTGAAGTTGTACTTCTGCAGCACCATCCCCGACACGCGCAGGGTGGCAGAGGCCTTCCGGCTGGTGCGGGCCAGCGCGCACCTGGCCTGCTTGTGCGGGATCCCGGTCCTCTGCTGGCTGGCGTGCGCCTGCCTGAAGCAGGAGGTGGAGGCGGGGCGCGACCTGGCTGAGGCCTGCGCCAGCACCACCTCTCTCTACAGCACTTTCTTCTTGCACCTGTTCCCCCCCAAGGGGGGCGCTCGCCTGAACCCGCAGAGCCAGGGCCGCCTGGGGAGCCTGTGCTCCCTGGCGGCGGAGGGCATGTGGACAGACACGTTCGTGTTCAGCGCCGAGGACCTCCGGAGAAACGGGCTCGCGGACACCGACCTGCCTGCACTGCTGGACGCGAGGGTGCTGCGGCCCTGGGGAACCGGCGACCAGTGGTACCGGTTCCCCCACACCAGTGCCCAGGAGTTCTGCGCCGCCCTCTTCTATTTCCTGGCCCAGCGCCGCGCCCCCGCACCCGTGGGCAGCGCGGAGGACCTGTTCTTCCTCTGCTTGCGGAAAATGAGGGTGCGCTGGATCTTCCTGGGGCCCTTCGTGTTCGGCCTTCTGAGCGAAAGGGAGCAGCGGCGGCTGGAGGCGCGCGTGGGCCCCCACCCGGCCGGGGACGTGCGGCGCGCGCTCCAGCAGCACCTGCAGCACACGGCGGAGAGCGAGCTCCTGCAGCAGGACCTGGACTTCCTGGCGCTGTTCTACTGCCTGTTCGAGATGCAGAGCGCGGACTTCGCCGGCTGGACCATGGGCCTCTTCCCGGAGGTCGCCGTGAGCATCACGGACAGCGTGGAGCTGGCGGTCAGCGCCTACTGCCTGAAGCTCGCCTCGGGCTTGACGAGGCTCGCAGTCTCCATCCAGAACGTTTTTGACGAGGAAACCAAAGGGTGCGAGGCGTGTCCCCGGTGAGTCCCGGCAGCTCCGGCCCCTCTCCACGGGCCCTGGGAGGGGAGCGGGTACGCACGGCGGAGAGGGCTCCACGCGGGCCCTGGCTGGACCTCAGAGCCCCGTGGCCCTGCTCCCTGGAGGCTCTGGAGACCCAGCCCAGCCCAGTGGGAGCGGCGCTGCCCAAGCCCATCAGCGCCAAGAGCTCTTCTCCCCGCGCAAAATTCTTAACTCACTATAAAAATCCTGACACGTTGATCTCACTTAATACGCCGAAATCCACAGGAGGAGGGTTCTCCTGGGTGCCAGGGGAGGACACGGGCAAAGGGGCGGTGCAAGAGGCCGGGTGAGGGTGCCCCGTGGGGCAGCACCGGCTGCCCGGCTGCTGGCCCTACACAGCCCCGTGGCTGCCAGGACTTGGCACGACTGGCACCGAGGCTGATGAGCGCCACCCCTCGCCTCCGCCCGCCAGGGGCCGGGGCGCCTGCCCAAGCCCGACAAGTGTCTCAGGCTGTTGCCCTAGCCCCTGGCGGGGGTCCTGCGGGGGGCAGCATTCCTGTGCCCTCCCGGGGGGTCATGGTCAGCCTCCCGGCCGGGCCTGCAGGTCAGGGAACGTGCTCAGCTGCTGGAACCAAGTGTGCTCTGCGCTGGCCACCGAGACGCTCCAGGAGTTCCAGCTGTGCTCCAGCGTGCTGGACCGCGCGGCCTTCACGGTGCTGTGCCACCTGCTGCGGCGCCCCAGCTGCCACCTCCAAAGGCTTGAGTAAGTGGGCCCGCAGTGGGGCGGCAGCGAGAGGCCCCCATTCCGGCTCTGGGCACCTATGCGCAGTGGCGGGCAGAGAACAGGAGAAGCCAGGGTCTCGCGCCTGGGCCTGGAGTCTCGGCTCTGGCGGCCTCTGCAGACAGAGGGACGGACAGATGCTCCTCTCCGCAGGATCAACAACGTGGCCCTGCCCGCGCAGCGGGGGGCCCTCTTCCAGGCGCTCACCCGCTGCCCCGACCTGCGACACCTGAACCTCGGCTCCACCGCGCTCTCGCGCAGCGACGTCTGTGAGCTCAGCAAGGCCCTGGGCCACCCCGCCAGCAACGTGCAGGAGCTCCTGTGAGTGCCATGCTTGGCTCCCCGGAAGCCCTGGCCCTCTCCACCCGGCGCACCTCCCTCCCGGCTTGAGCTGGCCCCACCCCTGGCGTCGCCCCCGCACTCACCCACCAGACCAGTGGCGGCCTTGGGCGGGCCTTGGGCGTCCAGCATGTCGGGAGGGCCAGAAAGACCTGCCGGCTGAAAGCTGCACGGAGGTCCTGCTGGCACCTCACTCCCCACAAAGGAGCCATTTGGATCAGCCCCCACCCCACCCCGCGGTTTTGGCGGGAATGACCCCCGTGAGGCGAGCGCTGGGGCTGGGCTCTACAAGGTGCCCCGGCAGGCTGGCCACGGTTGGGAGGACAGGCGGTGCCGGTGCTGGCGCTGACCGCGGCCCCAACCTGACTGGGCCCCACTCGCAAACACCCCTGCCCACGCTCGGCCTCTGCACACACTCCGGGAGTTACACTTCAAGGGGGGGTTTACATTGAGGACCCTCGTCTCTCCCTCTACTGACCGTCTCCAGCACCCACATATTCAGGTGCAGTTTCGGTCCTTCGCCTGCCACTTCTCCAGACTCCACCAGCCAAACCTGGCTGATGCCACTCCTTCCCCAGACCTGTCGGGGTGTAAACCGCCCCCCCAAAACTCCCCCGTCCTCACTCCCTGCACGTGGCCCACGTCCAAAACCAAAACAAACTAGTTCCTGGAGGATGCAGAGAAAGGAACCGCCCCGGCGCTCCAGGGACGTGGCTCAGTGCATGGGAAGCAGCTTGGAGGTTCCCCCAAAACCCTGGGCTATGCAAAGGACACCCCACTGGGGGAACCCATACAAAGACCTCCACCAAGTCAGGAGGCAGGAGTTTGGGGAGCAGCAGACGTGAGTATCTCAAAGCAAGTCCAACGACAGAGTGGCCAGCACGGGGCGAGGACGCAGGTCAAGCGGTGCCCACGGGGACGCGGCGCATTGGGGACTTTTCTCAGGCTTGGCTGGTGCTGCCTGGAAGCTGGGGCAGGGGGTGACCTGCTGCCTCCACCACACTCAGGTCGGGGGGTCACGAGCTGCTGAGGTCCAGAGAAGGCCCTGGAGTCCAGGCAGAGCGGGGCAGGGAGACGCCCCAGGAACGCTCCCGTGAGGATGGGGACAGACGAGGCAGGGTGGGGGACACAGAACCTGTGCCCCACGACCCCCTGTCCCCACAGACTGACCAACTGCCTCCTCTCGGGGGACGACTGCGAGGTCCTCGCCTCCATGCTGACCAGCAACAAGAAGCTGAAGCTCCTTAACTTGTCCTTCAACTACCTGGACCAGGGGCTGCCCCTGCTGTGCGAGGCTCTGCGTCACCCCGAGTGTGAGCTGGAGTCGTTGGTGTAAGTGAGCCCCCACGCCCGCGCCACTGCTGCGAAGGTGGGGGGGGCATGTGCACTCCGGGAAGTGAGGGCATTCTGAGGATACGTCAAGAATGTGAGGGCATGCGTGCCCCCCGCAAAAACAGGGCGCCGGGCGAACCCCCACCTAAACCCAGCACAGAGAGCCGACTGAGCAGCGCTAGAGGCTGACACACCACCTCAGGCAGCGACCGTCCTTCACCAAACTGACCCTTGCACCTCCCTTCCCACCCCGCCGCCCCGCTCTTCTGGCGACCACCAACCTGGCCTTAGACCCTGAGAGTCTGTTTCCTGCACCTCGGGCGCTCGGGCGGTGTCTTCCTCGGAACGGTTTGCTCCCCGAAGCATCGTGCCGTGCAGGTGGCCCTTTTCTCACGGCCTCTCTTACCCCACCGTGTGTCTGTCGCTGCGGAAGGCGATACTGACACCTGAGGACTTGCTGCTGCCCTTCCTCTCTGGCTCTCTGGCTCTGCTGGGCACCATGCGTGCCTTTTGGTGAACTTTGTTGAGGCGGGAGGGGAGACCCAGCGGGGAGACCTAGTGGGATCAAGCTGGACGGGCACCCTGCTGTCTCCCTCCCCCAGAGACCGCGCCGTTGTACACCACTCCCCACCTACCTCCAGCACCCGATGCGGGGCTCCTCGGCGTCCCTTCGGTGCACTCCAAGTTCATCTCTGAGGTGCAGGGGTGTGTCAGCCTCGTCTCTGCAGGGGAGTCTCTCAGTAGTGGCTCCTTCCCGGCTGGCTGGCTGTTGTTTCTCTTGTGAGCGCTGCAAGGAAGGCCTCAGTCGCCCTCTTGGTGATGCCCAGCCTTTAACCATTAAGCAGAAGTTTAGCAGTGAGGAGACAGGCTTGGGAAATACGGGGATATCAAATAAGGTGCGGGGATTTCCAGTGGCTTGAGTTTCAGAGTAGCGGAAAGAACCACGGATGCTTAGAGAATGAAGGCCGGCAGGGGAGGCTGTGTGGGAACCCCGTGTCCCTCCCCCCCAGCCCGGGCTAGGACAGCCTGGAGGGCCCAGATCCAGGGCCAGCTCCCCGGTCTGCACTAGGCTGAACGTCTGGATTTCACAGAAAACTTTACCGATGGTTAAGTGTTGACAGCTAATATTTAATTCAAAGCTGTCAGCATCGATGTTGCTGCCGATGGCATGACTCTCTCTTTTTGAGGGCCGAGTACTATTCCATTGTGTATGTAGACAACATCTTTTAGGTCCACTTGTCTGGGGACTTTTAGGTTGTTCCCATGTCTTGGCTACTGTAACGATGCTGCAGTCAACACAGCAGTGCAGGTTTCCTTTTGAATTTCTGTGTGTGTTCTTGGGATAGATTCCATTAGCTCGCAGCGCAGAGAGGTCCTGGTCTGAACACAAGCATTAGGCCTTTAAAGGTCCTGACTGCACTGTGGTTTTAAAGAATGGCAGCTGCGAGGGGTAAAGGGCTGGGCACGTCAGGTGGCCGCTGTATGTCACCATCCACAGCCGCAGGTCGGCGGTCAGTGCCCTGCGAAGGCAGCGCTGAGTGTGGAGTTGGAGGCAGAGCCCGCCCAGAGTACTAGCGGCTCCTCCCTCTTCCGTCTGCATGGCTTGCGCGGGCTTGCTGTCATCCCTGTGGAGGGGGACGTTCATGGAGGGGCACTCAGCAAGCCAGGGTCCCTGGCCTTCCCGTGACCGTGAGATGAGAGGCCACTGCCTTGACCTCTCAGGCGTGTCCTGTGCCCACGTCTGCCCCACAGCTTGGTGTGCTGCTACCTCACCGAGCACAGCTGGGCCAGCCTGCACGGAGCCCTCCTGTGCAACACGAGCCTCGCCCACCTGGACCTCAGCGCCAACGTCCTGAGACGCGAGGACCTGCAGCTTCTGTGCGAGGCCCTGAGGCAGCCCAGCTGCCGCCTCCCCTCCCTGTGGTAGGTGTCCCTGGGCCCGGGAGGCCGAGCCTTACCCAGGGGTCCGGGCTGTGGAGCTGAGAAAGGTCTGAGTCTGTGCCTCGGACTGGGAGACAGCTGGTTCGGTTCCTGCAGAGACTCCGGTCAGGCAAGCAAACGTGCCTCCACGCCAGCCCGGATTGAGCGTCTCAGGGTCGGCTGGCAGGGCTCACGGCAGGGCCGAGAAGGGGAGGGAGGGATTGGGACTCGGGACCCGCTGGGGGCAGACGTCTGGCTCATGAGCCACGCGATGACTCCCTCATCGGGTGGAAACGGAGAACTGAAGCTTCAAGTAGGAGGGTTGAGCGTAATTACCGTTGACTTGGGGATTAAAGTGGGTGAGACGAGCGTCTGGGAAGGAATGAAGGCAACATGTGGGGGGGAAGGTGGCGGAAGTGTCTCAGCCTCATGCACAAGGTTGACAGACAGCTGCAGAATCCTGTGGTGTGCGTTTGTCATTTTTGACGGCTGCGTAATAGTCTGCGTCTGCACCACCACACGTGGGGCGTTTGGAGTTGCCAGTTGAGACGGCCTTTTCCGACCATTTCTCCCCGAGAAATCAAGAGTCTTGGGGGTGGTGGGGTTTTGGGATTGGGTCCAATTATTTCTCCTCACCCATCAAGAACTCTCGAGTTTACAGCTTGGTGTTTCTTGCCTTGAGAGAATGTTAAATAAGGCAGGTTGAGCGGCCACTGCCCGCCGGGCACGGGGAGAGCCAGGCCTTCTGCAGAGACACCAAGTGACCGCCTGGGCAGCCTGAGCAGCGTCACCACTCCTCTTGCAGTTTGTCCAGATGTTTTTTGACCACGGACGGGTGCCAAGACCTGGCCGCGGTCCTCGCCAGCACCCAGAGCCTGACCTGCCTGCAGATCGGGAGGAACGACATCGGGGACGTGGGCGCGGCCGCCCTGTGTGAGGCGCTGGCCCACCCCAGCTGCCGCCTGGAGAAGCTGGGGTGGGTCCCTGAGGCTGGGGCGGCACAGGGCTGAGGGGCGGGTGCAGGGTGGGAGTCGGGGGCTGGGGGCATGTCCTATGGGGGCCCGCCCCCACGTGGGTCCTTGGGGCCAGGACCCTGCCCCCGCCGCAGGTTGGTGCCGCCGCCATGCCCTGCTGGCTGTTCTGAGCACAGGCAGCCAGGGTGTCCGCCCACAGTGCTGGGGGCTGCAGAGCCCAGAAGGTGCTGGAGGCAGGACTCACCTTGGCCCCTGACCAAGGGTCACAGACCAAAGCCTGGCCAGTCTGACATTGGGGGCGAGGAAGACACCCCAATCCTTAGGGGCCAGAGCTGCAAAGTCACAGCCAGCGGCTGGGAGAGGGGCCTGGACGTCTCCCGGGCGCTGCCACCTGCTGTCCCCCAGGCCCGGCCTCTCTGAACGCGTGTCCCTGCCGCAGGCTCAGCCACTGTCGGCTAACGAGCGCCTGCTGCGGGGACCTGGCCGCTGCCCTCGTCAGCACCAAGACTCTGCAAAAGCTGGACCTGCGGGGCAACGCACTGGGCCGCGGCGGGGTGGCCGAGCTCTGCCAGGCGCTGGGTGACCCGGAGCGCAGCCTGCGTGTGCTCGGGTGAGCGGGGCGGGGCGGGGGTGTCAGGGTTCCTGGCCTCCTGCGGAGGTGAGGCTGCTGCAGTCTCGCATGCTACAAGGGCACAGACCGTGCAGACCCCTCACCCCGTGCTGACAGGAACATGGGGGGGCTGGCAAGAGGGCGTCCTGTCGCCACGTCGAGCCTGTCCTCGTGTCCTGCGCTCAGGCCTGGGTCTGGGCCCCAGCTTGTTACTACCCGCCAGACGGGGGTTATTCACGGCAAGGGGAGGGGCGAGCCGAGGACTTCCTCCCCTGCCCCTCCCTCCTCCCCCGCCCCCCAACAGACAGAGCCGCGGGCGTGTGGGGCCGGCTGGTCCGGCAGCACTGACCTGCGCACCGTGGACATCCGCCGAGCCGGCCGGAAGCCCCCGCGGGACAGGACCTATGAGAACAAAGACAGCTGTCCTCTCCCGAGCCTCCGGCCCCCCGACTCCCTTCCCCTGCTCCCCACCCCCATGTCCAGTGGGCGTGGGCTCCCCGCTGCCTCTCCCTGGCTGTGCCGGCTCCTCCCGGGCAGCTTGGCGGCGGCAAACGCACACCCCGGTCCTGGGCGGCGCGGCGGGGCCCTCCGGCCAGGGGGTGTGTCCCGCCCAGGGCCGCGCATCCAGGGGAGAGCGTGGGGGCGCGGGGAACGCGGGCTCAGTCTCCCCTCTCGTGCTCTCTAGGCTGCTTAAAGGCGAATTCGACCAGGAGACCCAGAGGCTCCTGCAGGCCGTGGAGGAGCAGAACCCCCGGCTGAAGATCGCGGAAGACTGAGGGGCGGGGGGCGGGCAGGGCCCCGAGTGTGGCCACCGGTCCTGCCGTTTTACTTCATTTTTAACCGCTTGGCCGCCCTGGGGAGCCCCTGAAAAGCCCTCGAGATCCTCCTTTTATCCCGCAAGGGCACTGCAAACACTCAATAAAGTCTACGACGTCTCATGAAGCCCGACGCGCGTCTGTGGTGTGTGCAGCCGGGGGAGGACGCAGGGGCCGGCGGGAGAGCCGCTGGACCCCGCCATGGACAGCGGGCCGGGCCTGCCAGCCCCCTGCCCCAGCCCCCTGCCCCTGCCCGGCCGTGTGCCCCACGGGCCAGCGGCCCCCCCTCCTCCTCAGGGAGCCGGCCCCTTGGCCACCGCCCGGCGCGCTCCTGCCCCAAGCCCCACAAGCAAGCCTCGTGAGACTCCAGAGGGCCCCCGCTCCCCGCCCTGCACGCCCGCCTGGCACAGCCCGGCAGGGGCCCCGTCCGCCCCCCGCTGCCCGGTTGAGGGCCAGGGTGCGGGGCGATGGGCACGTGTGGCCGGAGTCGCCGGCCGTCACCTCAGCGCGTGAAAAGGGACGCGGCAAGACGCCCAGGGTCTGCGGGCGCCGCGGGGAGGCGGCTGTGCCCGCTGCACCAAGCGCCCGAGCCACGGAGCGGGGGCGCGACCTGGGCGGGGCGCCGTGGGGCGCAGGTTTCTGCAGGCGGGCCGGGCGCCCTCGAGGTCGCGGCATCGACCGCCTGTGAGCGTCGGCCACGGCCTCCCTCGGCGGCCACGGCCAAACCCAACGGGGCCCCCCCAGCCGTGACCCCCGGGGTTCTGCTCGGCCCCTCCCAGCCCGCTTCCCCAGCCCGCAGCACCGTCGAGGGGGCGCGCTCCTGCTCCCAGCACAGCCCGGCGTCTCTGCCTCCTTCCCGGCTGCGCCCGGCCTCCCGCACCCTCCGCGGGGCGCTGACGCATAGAGGCCGACACGCGAGAGCAAGCACCCGCCGACGGCGCGACTGGAAACACTGAGGGGCCCGCGAGCGCCGAGGGGGAAGCGGCTGGCCCGCAGCCTGAGTGTGACAGGCCGACAAGCTGGCAGCCCAGCCGCTGGGGCGCGTAAGCGCGGCGGATCCCGAGGCCCGCGCCGAGCAGCGCCGAGCCTGGCTCTGGGCCGCGGACTTGCCGCAGGCGGCTGCTCCGGACTCCAGCTCGCTGCCCCCCGGACCGCGCTCCAGCCGGAACCTCCTCCGGCTCCCGGCTCCGGACATCCTGCGTGACCCCCCGGACGCCGGCCCCGAGCCTAGAGCCCGCCACGGCGGAGGACCCCCGCCTGGAGGCCGGCCCGGCCGACACAGGCACCCTCGACGCTGAGCCCTGCAGGCCCCGGCGGGGGAGCGAGGGACGCGGCGGAGACGCGGGGACAGCGAGTGGGGGCGCGAGGGAGGCCACAGAGCCGGGCCGGGGCTCCGCCATCACCACAGGAGGAGCCTGAGGGAGCAGGAGGCCACAGGCTACCCCTGGGGCAGAAGGCAGCCCCGGGAGAGCCCAGAGAAGCAGCCAAGGGCACGTCCACGCGGCCCCAGCCCGGGGCTGCCCTCTGTACCGGTCCCCGGCGGGGTGACCGGGCCTGCCCTCCAGTGGCTGGGACCCGCGTGCAGCACGCTTTGCGAGGGCCTTGGACTACTCCCTTTAACTGCCCTCTGTGCTGTGCGCGCTGAAATGGTCTGCAGAGCTTCGTGGTTAGAGGTCACGGGAGCGATTCCACGACGAATCCAGGGACCGAAACCCGCGAAGTCACTGCGCGAACGGCGGCCGGAGCTCCGGGAGGGGGGGCGGCGCAGCAGCTCAGCCCCACATGCTACCCTGGACGCTGGAGGGACCTGCGCAGGCCCCAGCCTCCGCGCCAACGGGAGGTTCCCGTCCCCGGGGATCACCGATCCCTGCGAACGGCGTGGCCGCGGGCCCTGGACGGCTGGTGCTTGGGGCGGGCAAGGCCTTCTGCTCAGATGTCTGTGCCTGCCTGGACACCCTCCCCCTGGGGCCGCGCGCCCTCTGCCAGGCCCAGCTCCCATCTGCAAGAATGGCGGCCCAGGAAGGGGACGCTATTCCGAGGACCCTGTGCTCTGCAGACGGCCCCCTATGCGGGCAGAATCGTGGTGTGTAGCCTGGGCGGGACGTCAGCAATGCCCACCGCGGGCACCGATGCCCAGGCGGGGGCAGAGGACAGGCCGGGCTGCAAGCCGGAGTGGCCCGTGCATCTGTGGGCGTGACCAGGATGGGCTGACCGCCCCCCCCACCCCGTCCCCCTCCACCCGAGGCCCGGGCCGCAAGCGCCCTCAGGCTGCCTTTATGCTTTGCTTTATTGATCGTGTGAGTCTCAAGAGTGACCACATCACAGAGGGGGGTGGGGGGTGTGCGGGGTGTGAGGGCAGTCGGGGAACGTTGGGCACAGCCAACCCTGCACCTGGGCCAGACGCAACACCAGGTCAGGGTCCCGGGGGCCTCGCTCAGGGCGTGGGCTGGATGCCTGGGCACCACCAGGGCAGGGGTTCCTGGGGCGGCAGCACTCCGGGGCCTTCCAGAACTTCCACGGCCAACGCGGCTCTCAGTGGTGCGCCGGCCACCACCACTTGTCTTCAGCGTCATCAAAATCCCACTTACACTTGATCCTCAGGCCGGACCCCGCCTCCTGCAAGGCCGCCAGCTCCTCCTGCACGCCCCGGTACAAGTCTCTCTCGAGTCTGCAAAACACAAAGCCCCAAACAGGAGGACTGAGCAGCGAGGACGCGGTCACGCGACACCCACCACGGAAGGGGCGCCCACAGCCTTCCTCGGGCCCGGGGCGCAGAGGCGCTTCCCGCAGAGAAGAGGCAGAGCCACGACGGACACGGGATCCCGGGGAAGCCGGGCGGGGCGACTCGGGCACTCCCGCGGGCCAGCCGGCGGGTCCGCTGCTGTGGCGCCACGCTCCGCGCGCTTCGGGAGACGTCTCCGCCCTTCCCGCCTGGATGCCGTCCGGACGGCCAGCCTGCGGCCCCCGGCGCCGAGGCCGCCCGGCCAGGACGGACACCGCGACTGGCCCCGGCCGGGATCTGCTCCCGCGTCCCCCGCCGCGCAGCAGGGAGCCGGCGGCACCGGCCTCCTCCCCGAGCGGGGCGAGGGGCAGGCCCGGCCCCCACGCGCCCGGTTTCACTTGGGCCTTTCACGGAGGGAGCCCTGCTCGACACCCCGCCTGTCCCTCGGGGCAGCCTCGCGCCTCCGCAGACGCGCGTCCCTCCCCTCTCCAGGGCCGCCCGGCGAGGGCCTCCGGGGCCCGCGGGGTCGGCTCTGCCCCTCCGCCTCGCCTCGCCCGTCCCGGCAGTGACGCTCCTGCCGCCCTCCGCGCCCCCTGCAGCGCCAGGCCAGGCTTCCCCTCCCCGGGCGGGCGGCGCGCCCTCGGGCGTCTGCAGCGCCGGGCAGCTGCGGGGACGTCTGCGCACACGCGCCCCCTGCTCTCCCCGCGGCGACCCAGAGCCGCCCCCGCAGCGCGCGCGCGCCTCTCGCTGGAGGAACGCAGCCCACGAGGGCACGCTCAGCGCACACGTCTCCACCCGTGGAGCTTCTCCAGACGGCCCGAGGCAGAGCGGAGGGCGGCGGCGGAGCGGCGCAGGCCACAGGGGCGAGAGGGGAGACGAGGCGCCCGCGGACACCCACGCGCCTGCAGCCCCGCCCTGTCCGACGCGCCGCCCCGGGCCGGGGCGCCCGAGCTCGGGCCAGGGAAAGGGAAGAGTCGCTGTCGCCCCGCACGTCGGCGGGAACGCGACCCCTCGGGGAGCAGCACGGAGGCTGCCAGCGGCCGGAGCCCACCCCTGGGGGCACGTCCGGCTCCCCGCCCCCCGCAGACCGTCTGCGGCAGCCACCTGCTGGCGAGGGCCGAGAGCGGAGGCCGCGCGTCTCCTTGGCAGCGTCTCGCCGGGGCGGAAGCCGGCTCGGCTGGGAACAAGGCGCGCCCTCGCGGCTGAGACCACGCGGCTGCGGCGGAGGGGAGGCCGCCGTGAGGCGAGCCGGAGGACGGAGACTCACCCCAGCGGGCGTCGCTCCCTGGCGGGCGCCGAGGAACAGGCGAAACCACCCCAACGCGCACCCGGGAATCCAACTGCAGCGCGGAGGCTGCCGCGGGTGGGGCGGAGGGGAGGGGAGGACACGGCCTCGCTGGTGGGTGTGGGGTGACAGCAGCCACCCGCCGAGGTGTGACCCCGTTTCCTGACTCACATGGAGTATTGTAGCTCAAAGTCACCCCAATAAAAAACGTGTTACAGAAACAAAGCGTGTTGCAAAAATCTTCAGGCCTCGTTCGGCTCCCACGGGTGCCAAGGGGCCCCTCCCCGACTCCCCAAGCCCCGTGGGCGCTCCCCCGGGGACAGGCATGCCCCCAGACTGGCCAGGGCTCCCCAATATCGGCACGTTACCCCAGCTTCTGCAGCCTGCTCGTGGGCCTGGCCAGGGTTTTCCAGAGCACGTGGAACCCCTCGGGCCGCAGGCTGTTCCCCAGGAGGTTGAGGCCGACCAGGCTCTGGCTGCTTCTGAGGACGGAGGCCAGGTGGGGGCAGCCGGCGGGCGTGAGGCCGCACTTCTCCAGCCTGGGGGCGAGACCGGGAGGTGCTACGATCAGGGGCACACCCCCACCCCAGCATCCTGGAGGGGCAGGCGGGGGAGCCCCACTGGACAGAAGAGCCGAGAGGCTGGGCCCGCTGCACGGGATGTGAAAGCCGCGGCATCCACGTGAGCCAGGGGCTCTTTACGGGCCTGACCACACGCGTCTCTTTGTGGGTCCCACAGGCAGCGCAGGGGCCGGCCAGCTACGAGGGCCCTGGGCGTGTGTCCTGTAAGTGGGAGGGACCCCAGCTAAGTGTGCAAAGCCCCGCGCGTGACCACACAAGTGTCTGGAGGCTGCTGCCTGACCAAGGAGCCGGCTGGGGACTGGCGGGCGAGAATAGTGCAAGGGGACATGGCCCGGCGGCACAGGGGGACTGGCCACGCGGAGGACAGTGGGTGACTGGGGCTGCTCAGCTTCCTCCTGCCATCGGCTGAGCCCCGGAGAAGAGACTCGGCGGGGCGGGGTGGGGGGCTGTGACCACCCAGTATCCAGAGGACACTCCCGCACACGAGGATGCACCACGCAGGGCTGCCCTGCGCCCATCGGGCACAGGCAGCTTCTGAGGAGCTCCCTGTCCCTTGCCACCCTGCGCCCGTGACCGCAGCTCTCCCTGCACCCCGAGCGGGGCTCCGAGTAGTCACTCACCCGAGAGTGACCAGGGAGCCCTCGGGGGGCCGCAGGGCCTCGCACAGCAGCCGCACGCCCTCGTCCCCGAGGCCGTTGTGCCCGACGTCCAGCGTGTCCAGGCAGCGGTTGCGCCCCAGGGCTCCGGCCAGCTCCCGGCAGCCCTCCTGCCCGAAGGCGCAGCTGGACAAGCTGCAGAGGAAGCCGAGGGCGGCCTCAGCTCCGGCGCAGGCGGACTCGGCCCGGGGTGTGCCCCGCCCAGAAGGACGTGGTGTCCGCACAGGGCACACAGGCCCGGTGGGGTCTGGGGGAGGGCTGGGGGTGCCCCAGCTGGCCAGTGTCTCCCAGCCTCTGGCTCAACACAAGAGCTGGACAAGCCCCGGAGCGCCCCTGAAGCCGGGAGCCAGCAGGCTGACCAGACTGGGGGCGGGACGGAGGAGGGGGGCGCAGGGTACGAGCCCTGCTGGGGGCGAGAAGGGGTCCCCCAGCTCCACGGCCGCACTCACTCCAGCCTTCGCAGCCTGCACCCCGGGCGCCCCAGGGCCACACACAGCAGCGTCACCCCCTCGTCCCCTAGGTGGTTCCTCCCGAGGCTCAGGTGCGTCAGGCTCCTGTTCTGGGGGAGCGCGTCGGCCAGATACCCGCAGCTGGGGGCACCCAGCTGGCAGAGCCGGAGCCTGCAGGACAGAGGCAGGGCTCAGGACAGCGGCCGGGCAGCCCCACCCACTCAGCGGCCACTAAGTGCTGCCGGGGAGCCGTGTCCGCCCCACCCTGGACTCGCCAATGACAGGGGTGGGAACTGAGGGCCGGTGACCGTGCAGGTGGCCGCTGCTGGAAGGGCTGGCAGGGCTGGGCAGGACAGCGCAGTAGACAGGGGCACACCAGGGCCCTCCCCCTGGCGGCAGGCCTGGCTGGTTCTCTCCCGGCTCCTCCGTCAGCGCAACAGCTTATGTCTGAGGCTCCCCCGTAAAGCACACCCCCTTGCAGCGAGTCTGTCTCCACCACCCCCACGTGTCTGGGGCTCAGCTGTGGCCTGACCCCAACAACGGGGACGTCCCGGGGTTCCCCTAAAATCCGACACCTTGACAACCCCCCAGAGGCTGATTCAACTAGTCTGGAGTGCCTCGAAGGGCTCGGTGCACCCCTGAGTCACCGCAGCCCCGCTTCCAGTGCACGGGGCAGTGGGTGGAATGCTACTCGGCCATCAAGAAGGTGGGACCCCGCACTCGTGACACACGCGTGGAGCTGGAGGAAGGCTGCGGCGTCCAACAAACCAGAGGGAAAGACAAGCAGTGGCCACGGGAACAGACAAGGCCAAACCCAGACCAGCCCTTTCCACCCAACTGAGGCAGAACGCAGGCTCCCGGCAGGCAGGAGGAGGGACGGGCCCAGGGATCCCGGTGAGGGGTGCTGTGGAGGGGAACACGGGCTAGCGTGAGCTCATACCCCAGACCATGCAGTGCCGCAAACCAACGTCACCCCGACAAACAGCCTGGAACCCCGGGCGAGCCAAGTCGCCTGCGTCTCAGGGCCGCAGCCCACGGGCCACCCGTCCAAGGCCTCGCGGCCAGCAGACTCACTCCAGCCTCTGCAGGGCGCACTCGGGACGCGCCAGGGATGCACACAGCAGCCGGACGCCCTCGTCCCCGAGGGGGTTCAGGCCCAGGCACAGCCGCGTGGTCTGCTGGAGGCTGCTGAGCTGCGGGGCCAGGTGCTGGAAGGCGGCGGCCGACAGGCTGCACTTCTCCAGGCTGCGGAGGGAGGGCGCCAGTGAGCCCAGACCACTGGGGCTGCTCCCCGCCCAGCTGGCACACCTGAGCCCCCGGCTGGTCACCAGGATGAGATGACACAGGCCCTCTCGAGGGGAGGGGGAGGCCCCCGCCCGGCCTGGCCCTGCTTACCCGGCCCAGGCTCCTTCTGCCTGGCAGATCAGAGCCCCCACCAGGTGAGGGCAGAGCAGGTGAGACCGGCCCAGCGCGAGGAAGACCCGCATGCCTTGGCATGGCAGGTGGCTGCCGCCCCCGCACAGCTAGGATCAAAGGCCACACCTCCTCGGGGCATCTGTGAGGGGCGCAGGGGGGCCTTGTCTACAGGGACCCACAGCATCCAGGCTGCTGCTCAAGGTCACCTGCGTGCCAGGGGACAGCTAAGTGTGGGGAGATGACCGGGGCACCCCAAGACACACCCCACAGCCTCCGGACCTGCATGCAGTGCGCAAAGCAGACGCCGACAAAGGAGCACTTACGACAGCTCCTTCAGGGGGCGCTGCCCGGCCGCAGGGCTGCTCCCAGAAGTGCTCCCTGCGATCCTCCCCGGGGGGACTTCAGCGGTGCCCCCCGACGTCCCCTGGGCACTCTCCTCCCTGAGGGTCCCCAGGTTGTTGTCCCCCAGGCTGAGGAAGCTCAGGCTGCTGTTCCTGCTGAGCCCCAGGAGCAGGTGGTGAAAAGCGGGGGGCGTGAGGCTACAGGAGTCCAGCCTGCCAGAGACCCAACGGCGTGGCTCGCGGGGCGGCCTCACCTCAGACTGTGCCCTGCATCCAATCCCAAGGGGCCCCAGGCACCCCCGAATCCAGGACATGCCCCTGCCTCCCAGCTGGGCTCAGGAGCCGGTGCTGCCCCCTCATAATCCTGCTGCTTGGGCCCGCTGTCCCCTCACTCTGCAGCTGCTGCCTGAGCCACCCCCATGGGCCACTGACGGGGGACGCCCCCAGGGGACAGGGCGCACCAGAGACACCGGAGGTTGCAGGCAGAGTGGCCCAGCGTCTGGAAGAGCATCTTGGCCACGGTGACGCCCAGGTTGTTGGCGCTCAGGTCCAGGTGGGTCAGCCGGCTGTTCCCGTGCAGGACGACCACCAGCTCCTTCAGCAGCCCCATGGGGGTGATGGCCGTGCACCTGCGGGCGGGCGGGCGGCCATGGGGGGGGCTGCCACGGGCGGGGGGAGTCCAGGCGGCAGTCTGGCGTCGGGGCGGCCGGGACATGCACACTCAGCCATACTCATGCCCACCTGCCCAGCCCCGTCCACCCCTTGGGGTGAAGAGCAGCCCCGCAAACAGATGGGCACCAAAGCCTGCACCCTGGGAAGGGGTGGGCACCTGCCCCGGGAGGTCCCCGAGCCCCTCCACGTGGATGAAATCGGACAGTGACACCCCCAGTCTACCCGACCCCGCACATCTGCCCTGAGGAGGCCCTGGGCGCCCACGGCGCTCAGGGGAGCGGCCGGAGACCTGCTGTTGACCGACTTCTCCAGAGAACCACAAGACTCAGCCCGGCGGGGAGAGCTGCCCTAGGCCCGGGCCCCTCCCCTCGCTGCCCGCACCACCCGGGAGAGCGCCCCCCTCCCGCACCCCACTCACGCCAGCCTCTGGAGCCTGCAGCGCGGCCTGCGCAGCTCCTCGCACAGCGCGCGCATGGACGACATGGCCAGGCTGCTGCCGCTCAGCTCCAGCTCCCGCAGGACGCCGCCGCCGCACACGGCGCACACGGCCCGCCACTGGCTCAGCTCCGCCGCCACCGGCCTCGCCCTGCGGGAGCCGAGACACCCTGAGCACCGGATGAGCCTGGCCGGACCGGGGCGGTGGGGGGGGGGTGGCGGCTGCCCCTGCCCACGCCCCGCCCACCACAGCGGCACCCCCAGCGCCCAGGAAACGAGGTCGGGCGCGGCTGTGCCAGGGTAGACAGGCGTGCCCTAAAGTCCACGCCGAGCCCCGCAATGACGCCAAAGCTGGGCTGGAGGGGGCGGCCGAGGGAGGCAGGAGGAGAAAGACATGTGGGGGTGGCCCCAACGTGGGTGCGAAGCAGCCAGAGGTGCTGACGAGACTAACCCCCCGGGCCCACTGCGGGGCTGAGGCCACAGAGGGACGCAGAGGCGGCAGCCCGACGGCGAGAAGGCGGCGGAGCTCTGGGGGGGCTGCACCCGGGAGGTGTGGGCTGTGCCCCATCACACAGCATCGACACCGGCGTCACCTCCATAAGAGACCCGGGGAGGGCAGGGGCTTGCCGGTTTCTGGGCACAACAGCCGTGACCCAGAGGCCCTCCCCGACACAGGCCCTGCCCCACGGCCCAAGCCCTGGCAGCGCTGCCCGCGTCACAGCGGCCTCACTCGGGTCCACGCGCCCACTTCCCGCCTTCGCACACGCGGGCTACAGAGCGCAACGCGGGATCCGGTGCTGCAAGGGCTCGGCACGGTTAGGCTCCTAATGGCTGAGAGTCGCCGTGAGGGGCAGGCGCTCCGCTCAGCGCGTGAGAGCTTCACGGGGAGACGCAGACGGGGCCCAGCGGGACCCCAGCTCACACACTGAGTGGGGCCGGACTACAGCCAGCGAGGCCCGAGCCGGCAGGGCGGGGAGGAGGGGGCCCTGCCCTGCGGCGGAGCCGGCGGCACAGCCCCCGTGCAGAGCAGGGTGACCCAGCGACCCGCTCCTGGGCCTCTGCCCCGAGGACACAGACACTGCTGGGGGACACCTGCGCCCGTGTTTACTGTAGCCCCGGCCCTCACGCCCAGGGGCAGAAGGCGAGCCCTGAGGCCCACATGGGCAGCCAGGATGGAGCTGGCGCTGCTCAGAGGCGCGGCTGGTCCCCCAGGAGCGTTCAGGGAACCTCCACGGGGCTGGAGGCAGCGGGACGGAGCCCTGGGCGGCGGCCGCTCACTCACCCGGGGGCTGGCGGGCCACAGATGGCTCTGGTGGGCGGGACGAGCCCGCGGATGGCCAGCTTCAGCTTCCTCAGGCGCCCGCAGAGCGGCAGGCAGAAGGCGGCGGCGCGCAGCTGGGCGTGCTCCACCACGGCCACCTCGGCCTCCAAGAGGAGGCCCAGGACCTGCCGGGCGACGTCCTCGTCCCCGGCCTCGTGCAGGCAGAGGAAGAGGCGCAGGGCGTCCAGGTGCGCGGAGAGGCCCCCCGCCAGGCCCTCGGCCCACTCCAGCAGCTCGTCGGCCGCCCGGGGGGCCAGCTCGCAGCGCAGCTCGCCGGCCAGGGCCCTGGCGCGGTCTCTGTTCAGGAGGCCGAAGAGGAAGAGCGCCGTCTGGGCCCAGTAGGCGCCTCCGCCGAGGAGGGCGCCGCTCAGCAGCTCCCGCACCTCCTGGCTCTTGGTGCGGGGGCCCACGGCGCCCCACGCGCCCCGGAGCACGTAGAACAGGGCCCCCAGGAACTCCTGGAAGCTGTGGTGGGTGAAGGTGACGCAGCCCTCGCAGCCGGGGACCTTCCGCAGGACGCAGGCCCGCAAGAGCAGGTCCAGGAGGGGCGCCGCGGCGCCCCAGGGCGCCAGGTCCTCCGGGGAGAAGGTGTGGCGGGAGAGCCAGAGGCCCTGGGCCGCCAGCCCGCAGAGCGCCCTCCAGGCATCCGGCCAGCCGGGCCCGGCCTGCCCCACCTCGGGCGCCAGCAGGCCTTGGAGGAAGCCGGCGTAGAGGCCCGTGGCCGTCTGGTCGTCCAGCTGGAAGAGCGGGTCCTGGGCCGCGCCCCACTTGAGGGCGGAGCCCAGGACCCAGCACACCAGCGGTGCGTGGCAGGCGCGGCCCAGGGCCTCGTGCTTCCGGAGCCACTGGATGGTCTTCTTGCCCCGCCTGTGGTCGCCGAAGAAGCGGATGAAGTACTCCAGCTGGTCGGCCTCCGCGAAGCCGCGCGCGGCCAGGAACCAGGGCCGCACCAGCAGCGGGCCCAGCGCGCGGCGCCGGCAGTCCCGCGCCGTCACCAGCAGGGTGGCCGCCGGGGCCAGCTCCTTCTTCAGCAAGTGCAGGAGCAGCCTGGCCGCCGGCAGCTCCTGGTGCCAGTCCAGGCCGGGGGGCGCCGCGCCCAGCCCAGGGGGCACGTCCAGCTCCTCCAGGCCGTCCACCATGAACAGCAGCCGCTCGGGGCGCCGCTGGAACTCGGCGACAGGGAGCGGCGAGTCGGGCCAGTCCTGGGAGAGCAGGCCGGCCAGGCTGGTGCTGCCCGCGTCCCGCAGCGCGTGGCAGCTGACGTAGAAGGCCCAGGAGAAGCGGCGCTCGAAGAGCAGGCTCTCGGCCCAGTGCAATAGCACCTTCGCGGCCACCGTGGTCTTCCCCACGCCCGCGCCGCCCTCCAGGACCACGGTGAGGGGCTGGGCGCCGGATCGGCCCGGGCTCAGGACGGCCTGCAGCTCCTCGTGCTCCAGCGCCGTCACGCTGCGGAGGTGGACGTGGCCTTCAGGCCAGGGCGTCTGGTCCCACATGGCCAGCACTCTGGCTCTCACGCGCTCCCGGTACCTCCTGTGGGCTGGAGCCGCATAGGGGCCGTGAGGCTCGGCCCGCGCGGCCCTGCAGAAACACCCCCAGAAGCGATGGGGGCCCCGCAGCTCCAGGCCAAAGCCTCAGCAGAGGCGTCCACAGGTGGCGCCTCTTGGCCCCATCACGCGGGGGCCCCCGGGCCGCAGCTCCGAGGCAGTGCAGACGCCCTAGGCCAGGGTTCCCGGCAGCCGGCAGGGAGACGGGTCAGGGAGCTGAGGGGCAGAGAGGTCCACCGTGCGTCTGTGCCCCAAGCGCCACAGGCAGTGCGACCACTACATGGGGCACAGCCCGAGGGTGGTGGGACCGAGACACGGGCAGACCCAGGTGCCCAGGGCGTGGCCAGGCCCCGAGCGCCCAGGCAGGCGGGGCCCTCACAGCAGGGCGGGGCGAGGCCGGGTGGGCAGGCCCTCACAGCAGGGGTACGGCCAGGCCCTGGAGCCGCCAGGCAGGCGGGGCCCTCTCCCCCGCGGCCTCTGGGCCAGCCCGGGGCACCGACTCCGGACATGGGTCTGGGCACTGCAGAACCCCTGTGTGCTGGGCAGCAACGCTTTACCACTTGCCCTAGAGACACAGCTCAGTCCCAGCTGCGTCCACACACCGCCGACACCTAGTGCCCGAGGAGCGGACACGGCGGGATGAGCAGATGACGCGCGAAGACTCGCTGGCCACGCAGGACAGAATTGCGGCTCCGCTGCAGAGCTCCGGCAGGAACCACCGTGACTGTGGAGATCTGCGCGTCCGTGAGGGACGCAGGAGCCGGAACCCTCCCCAAGGCCGCAGGTGCGCTGTCCTGTGTGGTCCCCGGATGCGGGGCAGCGACCGAGGAGCACACCCCGCCCGGCTAGGCGCCGCCACAGACCCAGAGCACATCGGTCGGCCCGCGGTCATGTCGGGACGCCACCCGCGCCCGTCACGCAATGTGCCGTCGTCAGAGTCGGACACACACCTTCTCCTTCTGGCACCTCCGCATATTCTTGGACGGGGTCTTGGGGCTCCCGCATCCTCAGCATCTCTGGAACAAGCGGGGCGAGGGAGCAGTGAGGGGGTGGGGGGGCAGCGAGGCACCCTTGGCAGAGCCGGCATCAGACTGAAGGTGGGGAAGGGCCCTCAGCCTCCGGCTCCGTCAGCCCCGCCTGGAGGCACGTGGCTTTGCGTGACCCTGGGGTGCAGGGCACACACTCCCACCTCCGGGCCCTGCCTGCACCCCCCCAACTGGCCCCACTCCCTCACCTCCAAGTCACCACTCAGAGCTGAGCCCCTCGGCGCTAGCCAATGACCCCAATCCCCGACATCACACACGAGAGACTCCTCACCCTGCTCCCCCTTTCCGCTGTACCCCTCACAGCATGACAACGGCACGCTGTACCTGAACTTCACATGCAGCCATCGGGGCCGCGGTCGGCTGGTCCCCGACCTACCCCAGGTGTGCAGAACACGCCCAGCCCGGCAGGCACCAGGGCGCCGAGAACAGGGCGGTAAAGCAGGCCTCGCCACGGCGCTCACGCCAGCCGTCTCCTGTGCCTGCCGCGGCCACCCACGGGCCGGGCCGGAGCCGCCTCCCGCTGAGCCCGCCCCACGCCGGTGCCCCCGGGGCTTCCAATTGAGGGGACACGGTTGACGTTTGTAATTCCAGGCCCATCGGGGCTCCATCTGGGGGGCACGCGGATCATGGGCTTGCTCAGACTGAGGCTCTTTCTCCACCAAGGGGTGCCTGAGTCAAAGAACCCCACCTCTGAGGAGCCCCCAAGCCCAGGCCTGTGGAGTGCACCCAAGATTGAACAGGAAACCGGCGGGCATTCGGGTGCAGCCCCGCAGGGCTGTCCCTGTCACGGCTGCGAGCACCCGCGGCCCAACACTGAGGCTGCACCCCGCCCATAAACCAGGCGCGTGAGCCTTCGGGCCCCAAGTCAGGTGCAGCCTGTACCCCACGCTGCATCTAGGCCCCAGAGCTAGGCGGGACGCCTGTCCGCGGAGCCGAGCTGTTCCACAGCAGCCTGAAGTGTAAGTCCAAGCCCGCAAAGCACCCCAGTTCCCACTTCCTTTTGGTCTCCAGAAAACCACTGAGCCAGTCTCCCACCACATGTGCCAGCGTGGTCTGGGCCGGGGGAGGTTGCACAGGCACCCCCGGCATCGGGACACCACCGGAAGGGAGGCCTTCAGGGAAACGCGCCACGTGGAGACGAGGGAACAGCCGAGAAGCAGCTATGCAGCCACGGCTCCCCAAGCGCTGTCCTAGCCTAGAAATCCGAGGGGACGCACGCAGCTGCCCCACTTAGGCAGGGCCCCGAGGCACCAGCTGGTTGACACCCGGCAGCGCGATGCCTGCGCTGGAGCGCGAGAGCCCAGGGGTGCCTGTGAGCACCGGGCACTCGCGCAAATGCGTGTCCCAAGCCGGGCGAGGGGACGGGAGAAGGGGGAAGCTCAGCTCCACCCCGTACTGCCCACAGGGCCAGAACCCCCCACCGGGGGCTCCAGAGGATGAGAAGTGGAACCCCAAAGTTACAGCCGCGTCAGCTGCATGTTACCCGTGGTAATGGGCTAATTCTGCTCGTTCCGGTGACGTCACGGCGCTTCACACACAACATTCACCTGCCCCCACAGCGCCGCGGCCTCCCCACTCACCAGCCCTGGCGGCTCCCACCTCCTCGCTCAGCGAGGTCAGGTTCATGCTCCGGAGGGCGCCGGCCACCAGGCCCCACACCTCCCCCTCCGGGAAGTGCGCGTGCAGCAGGCCCAGCAGGGCGGAGGGCTCCAGGGCGCGCAGATCGGCCCAGGAGAAGGGCCAGGAGGCGGGGGACAGCAGCCGCCGCGACTGCAGTTGCAGCTTGAACTCCTCCAGCTGGGGCCCGTCCAGCCGCGTCAGGTGGGTCAGCAGCAGGTCCCAGGCGCCGTCGTCCACGGAGAAGGGGCCAGGGGCGCTCATGGTGGCCACCGCGGCCTCCCGGCCAGGACACCACACCTGAGGGGGGAGCGAACTTAGCCCAGGCCTCCACCTCCTGTGGACCCTGGGCCCCTCCTCGGGCCTGGCCACCACGAGCGCCCGGCCTCACGGCCCACTCCTCACGTCCTGCTCCCTCACGCCTGCTCCCTCACGCCCGCTCCTCACCGCCTGCTCCCTCACCGCCCCTCCCTCACCACCCCTCCTCACGCCCGCTCCCTCACCGCCCCCTCCCTCACCGCCCCCTCCCTCACCAGCCGCTCCCTCACGCCCGCTCCCTCACGCCCCGCTCCTCACGGCCCGCTCCTCACGCCCGCTCCTCACGCCCGCTCCCTCACGCCCGCTCCTCACGCCCGCTCCTCACGCCCGCTCCTCACGCCCCCTCCTCACCGCCCCCTCCCTCACCGCCCGCTCCTCACGCCCGCTCCTCACGCCCGCTCCTCACACGCACACGCGCTGCCGCCCGCACCCCGGCCGCGACGACGGGCTGCACAGACGGGGAGACCACGCCGAGAGCCCCGGCCCGCCCGCCGCCCAGTCCTCATCGTGACCGCCCCGGAGCCCGGCGGCCGGCCCGGCGCCCACTCACCCTCCCGCGCGGGCCGATGCGCTGCGCGACGCGACGGCGACGGCTTTTCACGGGCACCACCGCGCCTGCGCAGGCCGTCGGCGGGCGGGCTTCCCTCTGATAGGGCGGCGGCCGCGGGACGCACGCTGATTGGCCCCGCGCCCACCCATCGGCCAGCGGGCATTGCAAGCCGGCCAATCAGGCCCGAGGGGGCGGGGCTGTGAGCCGGGCGCGGGCCGGCCGTCGGGTCTCCCTTGAGGCCGCAGCCCCCGGCGCGTCTCCGTCGCCTTGAAGCGGCTGCGCCCAGCGTGAGCAGCCGGGCTCCCCGCCGCCCTCTGCGCAGCGGCCCTGCGCCCCCAGCGCCGCCCCTCCGCGCCCACACTCGCGGCACTCAGGCGCCCTGGCGCGGGCCGGGCCTCCCGGCGGCGGGAGCTGCTCCAGGCACTGTCCGGCGGTGTCTCCCCGGGCGAGCCCGTCCCCCTTTTTCCTGCTGGCTTTGTGTTTACGAACCCCCACTAGCACGCTCCCGCCGGAACCCGCCGCCCGCTGCCGCGCCGTCGGCCTCCGGTGCCCACTCGACGAGCGGCGCAGGGGCCTGGCCAGCCGGGCGGTGGGGCTCGAGCGGTCCCCGGGCAGCCCCGGGAGAGCGGCAGGGCCGTGCCCCCTGGCGCCCCGCCGCTCGGCTGTGGGAAGCCCCAGGCAGGGCAGGGCGGCCCGGCGGAGGCGCTGACCACACGCTGGAGTCTGGGCCCGTGACCCTGTTATGCTCCGTTTCCCCGTGTGCGGCAGCCCGCCCGGGTTGCTGCCCCGACTCAGAAACATGAGGGCTGACCCGGAACGGACCCGACCTCCCAAGCCGGGGCCTCATCACAACCCCCCGTCACTGACCCCCCCAACTCGCAGCCTCCGTGCCCATGGCGGGGCCACCAGGCGCAGGGGGTGCGGGGAGACACCGCCTCATGGAGGGTTATTGGGCAGCACGGAGAGCGCCCGGGAGTGCTCCCTCGAGGCGGCCTGGGGTCCTGACCCAGCGGAGCCTACTGTGGGCCCCGAGAACGCGCCACCGCAGCGGGTGGGTCCCCCTCCCGGCTCTGGGGCTGAGCGGCCAGCCTTGCTGTTGGGGCTCGGGCAGCTGCGGTTGGACGCGGCCTGAGGCCCCCGGAGGCAGGAGCCCTCTGGGAGCTGGTGCGAGGCGGGGCCAGAGGTGGGGTGGACGCGGGGCTGGACGGGGCTGGGGTCTGGGACTCGGGGCTGGAAGGCCCCAAACACCAAAACACACCAAACACAGGTGTTTCAGGGTTGGGGGAGACCTAGGTGTTTGGGGGATCCGGATCAGAGTGTTCTGGAGGAAGCTGCAGCAGCGGGAACGAGAAGGACGCAGCAACCACCCCAGGTGCGGCTGGGAAGACCCAGGTGGGCCCCGGCCAGGTGCACTGGGGCGAGGCGGCTAGAGGGGTGGGCAGGGACCTGCCGGCCCTTCTGACCTGCGCCCTGTTCGCCCTGAGCTCACCCAGCCAGGGGTGCCTGGAAGGGACATGGACGCCACTTCTGTGGAGCCGGTGCCCCAGGAGTGAGGGCTCCAAACCCAGGCTCCGCGGACAGGGCACTGCCGGGCCGGGTGCAACGAACCCTCGAAGTCGGGAGCTGCCTGGAGGGCAGGCAGACCCGCTGTGTCCAGTGGCCTGTCAGAGGCGAGGGGGCGCGGCGCTCTGGGGTCCCCTCGGGTGCTGGATGCCGCCCCCATGCTCCGGCCTCACGCAGAGAACCCGCATCTCCCGCACAGGTGAGGGCAGGTCTCCCGCGCCGAGGCGGCCGAGTCGGGCCCAGGTGCGCCCCATCCAGCCCGCTGTGCCCAGCCAATGGGCAGCAGCCACGTCACTGGCCCGGGCTCCCCAAAGCTGCTGGGCGGCGGCTGCTCCTGGCCTGAGGGGCCTGACTGGAGCCGGAGCCAGAGCTGGAGCAGCAGGTGAGGGAGGCGCCGCCCCGCCCGACCCCTGCTGGGCTTTCTCTCCCTGGAGTGGGCGGGAGGCCTCCGCGGGCCTGTGCTGGGACTCAGTTTACCCCATCAGCGCCCGGGACCGCAGAGGACGAGGCCCGGCCCGCGGTGGGAAGCCCCACCTGCAGACGGGTCAGGGGGTACTGAGGGGCTGCGCCCTCCGGGCTCTGAAAGCCACGCCCATGGGGGGGAGGGGGGGCGACCGGAGGCGGGAGCCCTGCCCTGGGCCACTGCTGGATGTAAACCAGTGGTTCCAAGGCCCACTCTGACTCCCACCCTGAGGCTGCTCCTGAGGGCCCCAGGGCACCATCCTCCCCCCCACCTCTCCCCTGGGGCTCCCCACCCCCCTCCACCCATTCCCTGTGGCTCCACCAGCTGCCCCTGGGACCCGCTCCCAGGGTGTCCTTTGCTTCCTTTGCCCAGAAAGGACAGTGGCCGGTCCTCCGCCAGACGGGCCAGTCAGCAGCCAGGCAGGTCCCGCTGGGGGTGTTCCTGCGGGTGCTGGAGACACCTGTGGGGCGGGGCCCGGGGGAGCCGAGAGGAAAGCCCCTCTGAGCACGTATTCTCAGAAAACCACCTTCCCCGAGCCCCCCTGGAGACCCCCACTCCTGTCCTGCCCGTGCAACCCCCTGCGCCCGCCCCCTCCCCTGGCTCGCGGCTCCCTGGCTTCTGGGTGGGCCCCAGAGAAAAGGGCAAAGGGCGCGTCGTGGCCAGGTGCGCTCCCGGGAGAGCGGGCTCTGCTTCAGGGCTGGGGCCCGCTGGTGGGCGGGCTGGGAGTCAGCGGGGAGGGGAGGGGAGAGGAAGAGGCGCGTTCCTCGGGCCCTGCCGCAGGTCTGCGGGGCGCGTCAGTCAGACTCGCTGCGCTGCACGCGTGGTTCCCGGAGACCGGCTCTCAGGAGCCTTCAGGGCGGCTTGGTCCGGGACCTGCTGGGGCTGCAACGCCATCCTCGTGTCCAGACCCGGCTCAGGCACACACGCCTGCTGCTGAGGGGGTCCTGGCCCCACACTGACCTCGGCCCCCCCGGGGTGGGGGGTGGCTGCTGGCCCCCACAGGTGGCCCTGGTGTTGCTGCTCTGCTTGCTCAGGGCAGGGAGGGGGCGCCCGGGACGCTGCACCCGCCTGCTCCAGACAGTCCTGACCTCTCAGGTCCAGACACACCCCAGCGCGCAGACCTCCAGCGGGGGGGATCCGACGCATCCACACCACACAGAGAAGGGGGCGCAGACTTTCCAAATCGAGCCCCTGATGCTCCCTGTCCCCCGTTGGGCAAACGTCCAGCCATAAGGGCTTGGCCCAAAGCTGGGCCCCCGAAGCCCGGAAGCTGCCCCGGTGTGAGGCCCCTCCTGGTGGGACCCCGAGGAGAGGGGCGGGGCCCAGCACACCTGGGAGCACAGCAGCGAGTTCAAGGTCAACACTGCCATGTCCCCTCCCGCGGTCTCACCCACGGGCCTGCCCAGGTTTGCTCCCGACCCGCTGCATCCCCTGTCCAGGGGGCAGTGGCCAGACCAGCCCAGAGCTCACCCCGTCCTCACAGCTCCCTGCCTCTCGCTCGAGTAGCTCACGGCCTGTTTTCCTCCCTCGTTGCAGAAATGGCGCAGGCTGCGCAGCCAGACAGCGCCGCGGAGGCGGAGGTGGGGGAGCGAGGTAAGGAGCCTTTCCTCCAGGGCCCTGCCGGCCTGGACAGAGGTGGGTGTGGGGGTTGCAGGCGCACGTGGTGGGTCCCCTCCCCACGGTTGTCCTCGCCTGTCCCAGTGTGCTGGGTCCTAAGCGCTCCTGGACCTGACGACAGGGACAGTCCCTGTGGTCACCCACAGTTGTAGGGGTTACGCCACAGGCCTGGCCCTGGTGGCTGCAGACACTTTACACCGCTGTGGCAGAGACGGCGACGGGGGCCGAGCGCGGTCCCCAAGACCGCTCCAATGGCAACTTCCTCGGCCAACCTTTTTATATTTGTTTTAAGATTTATTTTACTCATTTATGCGTACTAGAACCGGGGTACAGGCCAGAGGTGTGGGGGTGAGAGGGTTCACCAGAGACAGAGCGGGGAGCAGAACAGGCAGACTGACGAAACCCACTGCTGAGGGGAGCAGCGGGGAGACAGGAGAGGTCTGCTGCGCCATGCGGGTCAGCTCCCTGACTGGGGATCGAACTCATGCTGCGGAGGCTGCGGACAGTAGTGAGACTTAACCGCTGGGCCACCAGGGAGGCCCCTTGGGCAACCTTTTGAGAGTGAATACTTAGCACTGGAAGAACTAGGGCCGAGATCTGGCGCAGAATGTTTTCATACTTCACCTTCATACTGCTTGTGTGAATAGTTGTACGTCTAGGGAAACCACGCAGAGCAGAACACGCTGAGACCCCAGGTGCTACAGCTGTGTGGCCTGGCACTTCGCCTACCAGCAAAGGGGCTGCAGACTGCTGAGGAAAGGGACTCGAGGCTTTTATACTGAGAGGTCATGTCATGTATCTTAACACTCGCTCTTCAAATGATACTCCTCAGTGGGCTTTCTGCGTCCCCAGGTTGTGAGACCATCACCACAAATTCCAGAACACTTTCTCACCCAAAAAGAAACACCAAACCCATTAGCGGCCACTTTTTATGTTCCTCCCTCCTCCCCAAGCCCTAGGAAATCACTGATCTATTTTCCTTCTCTATGAATTTGCCTATTCTGGAGTTTCAAATACACGGAATCAGACAGTCTGTGGCCTTTCATGACAGGCTCCCACTTACCATGTTTTTTCAGATGCATCAGCATTGTGGCACATATCAGCACTTCATTCCTTTTTACTGCTGAGTAATATTCCACGGTATGGACATACCACATGGTCTTTATCCATTTGTCAGTCAACGGGCATTGAGTTCTTTTTACTCTTTGGCTGTTGTGGCTAACGCTGCTATTAACATTCATATACTAGTAAGTGGTCATGGAGCGAAGTGATTGAACTTGTGAGATGTTTCGTGAACACAGTGTTCGGTATTTCAGTTCTTTAAATGCCAGGCTCTGAAGTCACTTCAGGCTGGGCTTTTATTTCACCGGCATCACATAACTCACGCTGGCCTTGCGCACATTACTGATTGATCAGTCACATACCACAATGCCTCCTTAGGCATGTCCAGAACTTGGGGCCACGCACCCACATCCTCTACCCTCCCAGTTGCTCTGTCTCGCAGCCCACGCCGCCGGCAGTTGACTAGCTTAACCCGGGTCATCCTTACTTGAGTGTCCTGGGGCTGCAGTGGGGGAGCCATGAGCCCACAAAAGTGGAATGTGAGGTGCTGAAAAGAGCAATCAGATTAGAGAGCTCTTTTGTCGGCCCAGGGTGAGTTTCGGGACTGATCTCTGAGCGAGGGTGGAGCTTGTTAGCAGGAGGTCACCGAGAAAAACCCAGAATGCCCATTTGTGCAGACCCGGGCCTTGGGTTCTGTGTCAGCTTCACCTCCTATCTACCTCTCCCCCTCCTGCCCGCCAGGCCCTGGGGGTCAGCAGTGGGACTACAAGGGCCTCGTGATCACGAAATTCGCCTTGAGCAAGGACGGCCACGCTGACGGCGCCCACTTGGCTCCCGACTCTGCGGAGATGCGGGCGCTGGCCAGCGCTTTCGACGCCGACGCTGGTGGCTTCCGGCCCCGCACTGTGGTCCTGCAGGGCCCGGCGGGCAGCGGGAAGTCGGCGCTGGCGCGGAGGGTGCTGCTGGGCTGGGCGCGGGACGAGCTGTTCCAGCACACCTTCTCCCACGTTTTCCTGCTGGCGGCCCGCGAGGCGCAGAGCGCGCACGAGGGCAGCTTGGCCGAGCTGGTGTCCCGGGAGTGGGCGGACAGCCCCGCGCCTCTGGAGGACGTGCTGTCCCGGCCCGAGGGGCTCTTGTTCGTGCTCGATGGTTTCGACGACCCGGCCCTCGGCCTGCAGGCCGGCCGGGAGGTGTGCGAGCACTGGGCGGAGAAGCGCCCCGCGGCCGTGCTGGCGCGCAGCCTGCTGAGCAAGGCCCTGCTCCCCGCGTGCTCCCTGCTCGTCATGGCCCGCGATGCCGGTGTGGGGGCGCTCATGTCCCTGCTGGTGTCGCCCCGGTTCCTCGTGCTGGGGGGCGTCTTGCTGGAGCAGAGTGTTCGGCTGCTGCAGGAGCGCAGCGACCCGGGGCTGCAGGCGGCGCAGGCGCTGCTCTGGGCGGCGGACAGCCCCCCTTGCTGGAGCGCAGCGGGGAGCCTGTGGTGTGCGTGCTCCTGGGGGAGGCCCTGCGGCTGCAGCAGGTGGCAGGCGGTACCCCCGGCCAGACCGTCACAGGCCTGTATGCCACCTTCGTGTTCCAGCAGCTCGCCCCGGGGGATGCAGCCCCAAAGCGCCTCGGGCAGACAGGCAGGGCCGTGCTGAGGGGCCTGTGCAGGCTGGCCGCCGAGGGGCTGTGGGGCCTGAGGGGCACCTTTGCGGCAGAGGACGTCCAGGGCTGCGGGCTGCAGCAGCCCGAGCTCTGCGGGCTGCTCCACGCCCGCTGCCTGCTGCCGGGCCTGGGCGGAGAGACCTGCTACGCGTTCCTGCACCCCAGCCTCCAGGAGTTCTGCGCCGCCCTGCACTACGTCCTGGACGGCCTGGACAGGGACCCGGCCCCCGGCACCCCACTCCTGGAGAGCACCAGCTTGCCGGCACCCGCGCAGGCCGGCATCGGGGCCCACATGGGCCAGATGAAGCGCTTCCTGTTCGGCCTCGTGGGCGGGGAGGTGGCGGGCACGCTGGGGGTCCTGCTGGGCCAGCCCGTGCCCCCGGGGCTCAGGGAGCGACTGCTGCGCTGGGTGTCCCTGCTGAGCCGGCCGGCCGGCACCCCTGCGCCCCAGGACATGCTCGAGGCCTTCTACTGCCTGTTCGAGACGCAGGACGCCGAGTTCGCGCGCTCGGCGCTGAGCGGCTTCCGAGAGCTGCGGCTGCGCCTGCACCGGCGCGCGGACTGGGCCGTGGCCGCCTTCTGCCTCCAGCACTGCCGCGGCCTGCGCAGGCTCCGCGCCGACGTCCAGGAGGAGCGCTCCGGGGGCCAGGCCGCCGCAGGGTGAGCGACGCCTGCCAGGGCGCTTGCCCTGTGCATCTTTGTGGGCGTAACTGGCCCCCAAAAAGGAGATGCGTGGTGCTGTCTGTCTGTCCGTCGATGTAATCACACAATCAAGTTCATTGGCATAGCGGCCCCCATCACCTGACACCATAATCCATAATCCCCCCACCCCCGTCTGTATGTCTGTGTGTGTGTGTGTGTGTGTGTGTGTGTGTGTAGGACAGGTCACATAGAAACACGGCCCATTATGAAACCATTCCCCTCCTTAGCACCCTAGGAATACCCACCCTGTACCCCAAATACTGCGTCCTTGCTCAGGGTCTCCCCACATCCCTCCCTCCCCCCGGGCAACCACAATTCACACTCTGCTCCTCGGGGCTTGGCCATTTCAGGTTCCACCCGCCAGTGAGCAGGTGCATGTCTTCCTGGGATGAGCTAATGCCATGTAGCAAAAAGCCCCCTGGCTCACGCCAGTGGCAAGCTCGCTGCCTTTTTCATGGCTGAGTGGTATTCCACTAAGTTGTGTTCCCCCCCCCCTTTTAATCTATTTCTATGTTAACAGACCTTCCTTTTCCCCATACTTCGGCTGTTGTGGATACGGATTACAGTCTCTCCTTGGGATTCTCACTTAAGTTCTGGGTGTTTATCTGGATAACTCGCCAGCAGTGGGGATCACTGGGGAGTTCTGTTTTGAGTTTTTTGAAAAACCTCCACCTGTTATGCAGCATGGCCACACCATCTTACATCCAAGGGGAAGCCCAAATTTGAGCACAGGTGTGATCTGAGAGCTAGTGGCTGGAGACCACGCCAGCCCACCCCCTCGGCTACTGACGACGCAGGGGGTGATGTGAGAACTCTGCAGGGCTCAGCCATCACAGGCTGCCCTAACAGAGCCACCTGTCTCTCTGGCCTTCTCAGGGCACCTGCTCAGGTTGAGCCCATGCTGTGGAAGCACATGTTTGTCCCCTTCTCCAATGCAGGACTCAGGTGGAGACCCTCACTGCTGAGTGCTGGGAAAAGATGTGCTCGGTGCTCAGCACCCACCCAAGCCTTCAGCAGCTGGAACTGAGTGGCAGCCTCTTGGAAGAATGGGCCATGAAGACCCTCTGTGTGAAGATGAGGCAGCCGGCCTGTAAAATACAGACTCTGAAGTAAGGCTGCCCGGACGTGGCCGTGTCACATTTCCCTCCCCTCTGCTGAGAGATCTGTCTACACAGTGTATTCAGAGGGGCTAAGTGCCATGGGAGGTAGAGAAATTAAGACCTGGTGAAGAGGTAACTGAGGCAGGCTCTTTTACTCTGGGCTTTGAAGGATGAATAGGAGTTGGTTAGTGAAAGAAGCAGTGAGTGAAAGCTTGTCTTTAAGCAAATGGTAGAATATAAGGCAATGGCAGGTTCGAAGTGCCTGACTTATGAGAGCCAAAGTGGTGAATGAGCTCTGGGGTCCGTGGTAGACCCCAGTGACTGTCGTGGGAGTAGGAGCTGATGTGCTAATTCTACTTCAGACAGAGGTTCTGCTTGTCTCCACATCCTCCGTGACCAAGCAGACAGCTGTGGCATGGAGAAGTGAGCCACGGGGTTCTTGGCTCAATGGCTGATGCCTTCCCCTCCCTGATATCCCTTAGCCACTCCCCTCACCCTGGTGCCTCTTCTCCAGCCATTTCCTCACAGCGGGCTGTGCCCACTGGCCCCAGGACAATGAGTGACGTCCCGTCACCGAAGCCCTGCTCTGAACTCAGCTGTTCCATGCAGTTATCTTAAAGGCGTCCCCCCCAAGAAGCCCTCCCTACTAATTGTCCCTATTTTAATTTCTCCTTCTACCCTACACGTTGCTTTGATTCTTTTGTCACTCTGTAATACCACAGAAATACTTGGTAATGGCAAAAAGGTTCAGGAAGTACAAGGGGTGTTAAGTCCTCTGGCTTCCCTGTTTCCCCAGTTAGCCACTGTCACATCTCCTGCTAAGTCTTCCACACAGGCGTGCGTGCAGGTGACTGTTGAACGACAGGGCTGAAACTCTGCACATGCACAAATGACTTTTTTTGTGGTCATGGGGTAAACATTCAAGGATCCAACCAACCTTGCCCCCACACCTGCATTACCTGAGGGTCAATGTTCATACTGGTATGTGAATTCTTTTTATCCAAGTGGTGTCCTATGCCACCTGTGCTGAGAGTTGACTTCCCAATTTGAACTTGACCATAGGCTTGTAGTTCTACGTGTACCAGGCGATGCCATGTTTCATCCCGAAGTGTTACTCGCATCCAGCTCGGTCTCCCCTCCTGCAGGAAGCTCAACGGTGCGGGATGTTGACACTGCTTGACGCTCTGCCCCCGGTGCCTGGTGCGCTGGAGGGCTAGGCATTTGCTGCTTTAAAGTTAAATAAATGCAAGGGCGGTGAGACGTGAGAGCTGCAATGAGAGCAGATCCCCGGCTCCTGGCTTGAAGTTCCATTTTATCTCTTCTGCAGATTTGAAGGTGCACAGATCTCCCTGGGTCTCCGTCACCTCTGGAGGGTCCTTATCACCAACCCTAACATCAAGTCCCTGAGCTTGGAGAGCAGCACCCTGAACGGTGAGGACGTAGCCATGGCCTGTGAGGCCCTGAAACATCCTAGCTGTTCGCTGGAGTCTTTGAGGTGAGTCCTGAGTCTGTTTTTTGATTTGGGCTGTTTTTGTTGTTGGTGTCACCTTGGAATACTTGTCTGTAGTAAGTTGCAAACAAACAGTGGAGCAATGGGATAAAACCCGAGCTGACAGAGGCCACCCAACTCTGGCTTGGAAACGCTCGACGGGAAATCTGATGGCGAGTGTGTTTTGCGTCAACCAAAAATAACTTTCAAGTTTCCATCAAGACCCAAGATAGAGTAGAAGGCCCCACACACACCCAAGCAGTTGCTCCCGGGGTCACATCCTGCCTGACGATGCCATGTGGAGACCAGACTCTGACCTTGGCCCACGCTGGGGGTGGCCGCGTGGATGAAGCCATGGGGAAACTGGGCGGGAGAGGCCCATGGGGGCGCCTGAGGAGGTGGGTGAGGAGGCCTGGGTAGGAGAGGGGCGGGCGCGGCCAGCGGAAGGACCGACTGACGCCGCCCTGATGCCAGTGTCCGAGGCCAGCGGCGCGGCCGGCGGGCGGACCCGGGCACGGTCGCCGGGGGACACCGGCTTCCGTCGTGTCTCTGCAGGCTGGACCGCTGCGGGCTGCCCCGCGCCTGCGCCCCAGAGATCGCCCGGATCCTCGAGACGTGCCAGAGCCTGCAGTGCCTGAGCCTGGCGGGGAACAGGCTGGGCGGCCGCGGCGTGGGGCCCCTGCGCGAAGCCCTGGAGGCCTCGCCCTGCGCCCTGCAGCGGCTAGTGTGAGTGCACCCCGCTGTGGGGGGCGCTGTGACCTGTGGGGGCGCGGCCCTTCTAAGGTCCTGGGCTTGGGGCAGGGCCTCTGAGTCCCCTGAATTTGGGGACATGGGGGGCTCACGGGGTGGGCAGAAGTGGGGGCTCACAGGGGCAGGAGCTGTGGTGTCTGGGGGTGACGTGGGGCTCACCGCGACCCCTCACACTCTCCTCCAGGCTGGGGAGCTGTGGCCTCAGCACCGCTGACTGCCGTGACCTGGCCGCGGGCCTGGGCTCCAACCGCAGCCTGACTCACCTGTGCCTGTCCGGCAACGCCCTGGGCAGCGAGGGCGCCAGCGCGCTGTGCCAGGCCCTGAGGCGCCCCGGCTGCGGCCTCCAGCGGCTGCTGTGAGTGTACCGGGCTCGCGCCAGGGTGGTCCCTCTCGGCACCCAGAGTGGGGTTGGGGGGACCCACCTCGGACCCTGGACCTCAGCCCCGCCACGCATGTGGGACGGACGCCGGGTGGCACGTGGCCCCAGGGATGGGGCGCTCCTGGCTGCTCTGCAGAGACAGGAGCCGCGTCCGGAGCTGGGGCGGCGCAGCCCAGGGAGCAGGAGGCTGGGGGGTGGCGGGGCGGCCTCCTGTCTGACCGCCTCAAAACACGAACCCACCACGGGGAGGGCGCGCTGAGAGCTGCCCCAGACGAGCGTGACCCCCCAGGCTGGACGGCTGTGACCTGGACGTGGCCGCCTGCGGCTTCCTGGCCTTCGCGCTCATGGACAACCCGCAGCTGACGCACCTGAGCCTCAGCGCCAACCCTGTGAGGGACGACGGGGCCCGGCTCCTGTGCGAGGCCGTCGCCAGCCCCGCCTGCCACCTGCGTGACCTGGCGTGAGTCACCGGGGCAGGGGTGGGCAGTGGGAGGCGGGCAGGGGCAGCCCGGCAGCGGGGTGGTGGCTGGGGTCGGCTTGGCCTGCTCCCGGCTTGGCCATGGGCTCCCGCCCCACAAGCGGGGGGCTCTGTGCCTGGGGGTGGAGGCTCCGGCCTCCTCACCCTTTCCCGGACTCAGGGTCCCGGCGCCAGGCTGGGGCGCCCCCCCTCCTCGAGCGGGACCAGCTAGCAGGTGTGGGAGCAGAGGCCCACCCCGCTCACGCGCTGGTCAGCTACACGGGGCTGCGGGTCTTGTGGGGCGGCCGGCCCAGGGCGGGGTACCCTGCCTGTTTGCTGGGTGCCCTGTTACGCCGCCTGGCCCAGGAAGCCCGCACTGGGGCCCGCCCGGCCTCGAGGCTTTGGATCCCCGCCGGAAGGAGGCCTGGGCGGGCCCTTTGGGAGACGCGCAATCGCCCCTAAGGCCCTGAACCCCCAGGGCGAAGGACCTGCCCCCTGAGCCCAGGCTGACGCCCCCTCCGCCCGCCCGCGGCAGGTTGGCCGGGTGCCGCCTCACTGCCGCCTGCTGCAAGAGCCTGGCCGCGGCCGTCGGGAGGAGCCGGCACCTGCGGGCCCTGGACCTGGCCGCCAACGCCCTGGGCGACGCGGGGGTCGCCGCGCTCTGCGAGGGGCTGAAGCAACGCGGGAGCACCCTGGAGAGACTGGGGTGCGTTCCCGGGCACCTCTGGGAGCCTCTGCCCATCAGCCCCCGCGCCACCCCTCCCCGCCCTAGTGCCCCCTGTGCCCCGCCCTGTGCCCCGCCCTCGTGCAGGCCGTGCAGGCCCCGCAGACCCCGGTCTCCCCAGGCTGGAGGCCTGCGAGCTGACCGACGCCGGCTGTGAGGCGCTGTCCTCGGCCCTCGGCGTCAACGAGCGCCTGGCCGGCCTCAACCTGGCGCGGAACCACTTCGGCGCGGCGGGCGCGCAGCAGCTGTGTCGGGCCTTCACCCGCCCCGCATCCGCGCTCCGGAGCGTGGGGTGAGTCCTGCGCGGGCTGCGGGCGCCCGGGGGGCAGCGCTCGGGACCCGGGGCTCAGGGCGCGCCTGCGTCCGGCTGGGCAGGGAGGCCGGCGCTCCGGACCCGGGCTGGGGCCGCAGGCCGGGGACAGACGGAGCCCGTCACGGGCGGGCGGGGGCTTGGGAGGGCGCCTGAGCAAAGCGGTCGTCGGAAATTTTAAACCACGAGCTGGAAGTGCCGTGGGGTGCAGCCGCTGTTTCTGGGTGAACGCCTGAAAGTTGAAAGCAGGCCTCGACGAGGTGCCTGGGTGCCAGTGCTCGGCCGCTGGCCGGAGGAGGGGCCGCCCCGGGCCCATCACGGGGGCCGAGAGGCAAATGTGGGGTATCCCCGCGGGGGATGTTACTCGGCCTTGGGAAGGTGGAGCCGCGGCTGCTCAGTAGCTCCCATTCACCCAGGAGACAGTGGCTGAGGGCATCCCGGCGATGAGCGGGCACAGGTTTGGGGGCGCGTGGGGAGACGGGCAATGGACTGCACTGGCCGGAGGCCTGGACTGACCACCCGAGGCAGCGCGTGATGTGTCCCTACGGACAGCGAGCTCCCGGCTGCCCACGGTTTTCCCCCGGTGCCCAGCCGGGCCCTGCCCGGGAGCCGGGAGCCGGCGGGAGGATGGGGTCAGTCACTGCGGCGGAGGCCTGGGTGGGGGCTGAGGCGCAGCAGGGAAGCGGGAGGGGCGAGGAGGGGGAGACGGAGGAGGGGCTCAGCTCAGCGACCTGGCGCGCGCCCACCGCAGGGCCCTCGGGCGAGGAGCCAGCAGGGCAGGTCAGCAGACAGAAGATGCTCGTGGCCGTGACCCTTGGGCCTCGGCTGCCCCCACCGCCCGGGGACTCAGCGGTTGGGGCGGAGGCTGGGGCCTTGCCGGGGACCCCCCCTGGCGCAGGGGCGAGGCTGTGCCCGCGGGCACCTGTCCTCGCCCCACCCTGGAGTACCGCCCCGCGAGGGCGGGGCCTGCCGGCGTCGGGGCTCCTGGCCGGCTGCCTTGGCGGGTGGAGCCACCCGCAGCAGCTGCGCCTGCAGAGCCGCGCGCCCCCCACAGCCGCGGGCGGCTCCCCGCAGGGGTGTCTTCCTCTGGGGCGCCTGCGCTCCCGCGCCCCAGCTGCGGCCTCGGGCGCTGCGCGGAGGGCAGGGCGGGCAGCGAGTCCTGAACTGTCTCCTGCCAGGCTGTGGACGCAGCAGTACCCCGCGGAGGTGAGGGCGCTGCTGGAGGAGGCGCGGCTGCGCAGGCCGGGCGCGGAGATCGCCGACGGCTGGTGGGCGCGGGCCGAGGACGGCCGGGACTGGTGGAGGAGCTGAGGCCCAGGCCGCCCCGCGGGCGCCCCGCGCCGTGTAACCGCCGACCTGGGGCAGGTGGCGCGACCTGGGGCCGGTGGGGCGGGGCAAATAAATGAGCACGGCGAGCATCGGGGCTCGTCCCGCGGCCTCTCCATCGTGGGCGTCGGCCGGGAGCAGAGGCGGGCGGCCTCCCAGTCCCCAAGGACCCCCGTGGCGCCCAGGCGGCCCGATGGACGCGCAGGTGACCCCTCCCCCTCCCGGCGGGGTTTCGGAGCTGAGGGCGCTTGGGCTGTAGCGGCTCGACGCTGGGCGCGCAGAGTGGGTTTCAACCCGCCCGGGCGCGCACGAGCTGCAGGGTGCCCGAGCCTCTTCCCCGCGGCGCGGCCTCGCGCCGGCATCGCCAGGCCCAGGCACCTGCCAGGCCCAGGAAGCCCGCGGGCAGCTGACACGCGCCCCTGTTGTTCCAGCGTCGGGGGTCCACGCCCGCCCGGAGCCCCCGGCTGCTCGCGGGCCGTTGGAGGGCCCGTCCCGGTCCCCGCAGCCCTCGGGCGCAGGCGGGGGGAGGGCCGCGCGGCCTCCCGGAGCAGGTGGCCCGGGCGGCTACGTTCTGGGGCCAGCTCGTCTGCGGGACCCGGAGCAGCCGGTGGGCCGCAGGCGGGCGGAGGGGCCGGGGTGTTATGGCCCCTGTGCCGGGAGGGGGCTCCCTGCGCGCTCCCCGGTGCCCGCCAGATGGCGGCAGCGCGCTGCCCGCGGTGCCCCTGTCCCGGGCAGGCGCCCCTGCTCCGGCTGCCGCGTGGGGGGGGGGGCAGGGCTGTGCCCCTCATCGAGGCAGCAGCCCTGTCTGCCACCCACCAAATGGCCGCAGCGCCCGCCTGTTCCGACCCCAAAGCGGCCCCAGACATTGCGGGTGTCACCTGGGGCGCCACGGTGGCCTGGGCACGCCCGGACTCCAGCAGGCAGAACTGCGCCCAGGCCGGCCACGAGGGGCAGTGCCCAGGGCTGACGCGCCTTTCTCCTGCGGGGCAGCTGCTGAGTGGACACCCAGGAGCGGCCCCCCCCTCCGGTGTCCAGGCCCACGCGGCCGAGGTGCCTCTGGAGTGAGTGTTAGGAGACCACGCGTGATTCCGGCCACAGGACACCCCGGAACAAGGAGGCCAGGGTGGCGCGCCTCGGGCAGAGGCCCGGAGGACAGCACCGGGGAGAGCGCGAGGGGCTGTGGCCGGGGCCGTGGGCTCACTGTCCGTGGGCCCGGCGGCCCTCTGGTGGGGTGCCCACCGGGGCCTCATGTAAGGGCGCACGGGTCTCCTGCCCGGCTTTAGTCTGGTGTCCTTTGTGGGGCGGCACTCGCGCCGGGTTGTCAGTGGGAGCCCCGCGGGTCTGACCCCTCCGCGGGGCTGGGGGCCTGGGTCACTCCGATGGATTCTGCATCTTTGCCCAGATCACCAGGAGGAACCCCAGTTAAGCTGGCGGGGGGGTTGGAAAAGAATTGAGAAAGCTTTTGTTTTTAAACTGCCGCTGCTGGCAGCTGAACGCCCGCGTCCCCCCAACGCAAATCGCCCCTGTTGGAGCCCCGCCCAGGCCAGAGCCAGCGGGGAGGCCACGACCACCTCGATAAAGGCTGGCTGTAAGCATGGCAGCCGGGCCATCTTGCTCATTATTTTGGCTTAAAACCTTTACGAAGCTTATTTAAAGGCTAATTTTGGGTTTACCTCAGGAGACAGCAACACAAGGTCTTGACCTATGCATTTCTGTCATGTGCCGTGTAATGCACTGTGTGGGCGCCCCACCGGCCCCACCCCCACGCAGCCCTGCCCGCTCCCCCAGGGAACCTGGCCCTGCCTCCACGCAGCCCTGGGCCCGCCCCCCACGGAGCCTGGACCGGGTCACCTCATGACCACCCTGCTGCTCCCAACAACCCTGGGTGGGGGGAGCCTGTGTTGCCCCGTCGCAGAGAGTACACGCACCTTTGGCTGAACGGCCTGGATTTAGTCACAGCCGTGAGCGCACACAGACAGCGGGGCGGATGGGCAGGTGGAGGGGCGGGTGGAAAGACAGAGTGGGTGGAAAGGTGGAGGGGCGGGTGGACAGGTGGTGAAGCGGGTGGACAGGTGGTAGAGGGGTGGGTGGACAGGTGGTGGGGTGGATGCACTGGTGGAGGGGCAGGTGGACAGGTGGAGGGGCGGGTGGACAGGTGGCGGGGCAGATGCACTGGTGGAAGGGCGGGTGGACAGGTGGAGGGGCGGGTGGACAGGTGGAGGGGCGGGTGGACAGGCGGAGGGGCGGGTGGACACAGGGAGCTCCCTTTTAATATATGAGTCATCTGTGGTGCATTGCTGAGCGCAGCCGGGTATTTGCCGAGTACCGAGAGGATAATGCAGGAGAGGATCGGAGGCTCCGGTGGTTGATTAAAACCCCTCAGCACCTTTTCCCCCAAGCCCCCGTCACTCTATAAAATCTCACCTGGGACCAAAGGTCTTGGCTCCTGGCCCAGAGCCCCGGCACAGCCCCCTGGGCTCCGCAGACCGCCCTCCCCGGCCGCTGCTGCTCTTCTGTGCGGCGGGGCCGGCCGGGCGGGGTGGTGCTGGGGTCAGCGCCAGCAGACACCCGAGGGCAAGGCCCTGTCCGGGGTGCTGACGCCCCCCCTCACACCCCAGCTCGGACAGGCAGCCCCGCCGGGTGAGTCCTGTGTGTCCGGCACCGGCATAAACAGGGCGGGACGCAGCACTCCCAGCCACACACAGGCCACGCAGACACACGCACCTGCGCAGACACGCGTGTACCTGGGGCGGCCGGGGCACACCTGCCACACGCTGCTCCACCAAGGTGCTCGTCTTACCCCCTGCAGGTGCTCTGGGGGGAGGGGCCAGCAGAGAAGGCCGAGTGGAGTTGTGCGCACGAACTCCCCCCTTAGCGCCTGCCATTCTAGGTGTTGGGAGGTTGGGATCCCGCCTCCCCCCAACCCCTTATCAGACCCCAGGATGCTCCAGGGCAGGGCACCTGGAGAGCCTGGCTCAGCCCTTCCAGGGCAGCACCGGCTGCCACCAACCCGGCCGGGCTGGCCAGCACTCTCCTGGACAGCCCGAGGTGCAGGAATGCCCATCAGTCCCACTAGTGCGTCCCCCTCCTGGCGCCTGTGTGCACCTAGGGAGCCCCGCCCCCCACCCCCCCACCCCCCTGGACTCACCGAAGTCCCGCTCTTTGGGCTTGCTTGACTGATCCGACTTCAAGGGGAACCCCAAAACACTCCGCCCACAGGCAGAGCCCAGCCCACCTCGCCCCCTGCCCTGACCGCCCCAGGCCCCTGCGCACAGCAGGCCTCCCCTGCTCAGACTCCCCCACCCGGTGCTGAGACTCCACCTCCAGCAGCATCACAGGCTGGAGCACCAGGGACACGTGGACACGGCCTTCCAAGCCGGCCCTGGCCTCTCGAGCCTCAGGCCTCAGCCCCGGGAGCCTGCTCTGCCCTGCTGGCCCTCCCGCCAGAGCCGCCCTTGCAGGGCCCCCAGCGCTGTCCCTGGGGACTCCCTGTGCCCGGGACACCAGCTGCAGGCGCAGGGGTGGGGATGGGCATCTGGGCCCACCTGCTGCGCCTCCAAGGGCCCCCACCGGGCAGGCAGGCCTAGGCCTGCCCGTGTCCTAGGACACTGGCCACCCTGCCCCGCCCTCAGCCTCACCCAGGGCGCCAGGAGCCCCAGAGCAGAGACAACTATCTGCCTGCCTCCTCTGCAGCCAACTGCAACCCCCAAACTGCCCCCACAGGGGGACCAGGGCGGGACAGGCACCGCTTCAGGCTGCCTCTGGGGCGGGTGCAGGAGGCTGGTGCCCCGCAGAAGCTATGGCTTCCCTTAGAGGCGGCCGCACAGGTCACTCTGAACGCCCTCCCCTCAGGCCCCCCAGCCTGGACCCCAGGGGCACTGCCCGCCCTGGGCCGTCCTCGCCAGGGCCCCCGGCACACCCCTTGGGAGCCCTCCCCACAGGCACCCAGCGTCCCGGGCCAGGAGCCGCCCTCCGGCCCCCCTCCCCAGCCTCCGGCCCCCCTCCCCAGCCCGCGCACCAGCGCCACACCAAGCACCAGGAGCCACGCTCGGCAGACAGGGCCGTTTATTGGCCAGCCCAGTCCCCCGGAGGGGCAGAGGCGGCCCCACCCTCTGCGGGGTGCCGGGGCAGGGAGCTGGCCTGCCTCCCGCCCCTCTGCGAGGCCAAGGCCTGGCGGGGGAGGAAAGACGGGGCAGGGGAAGCGCCGGGCCCAGAAGGAGAGAAAATAACAAGTGGGGGGTGTCGAGAGGGTCCGAGAGAGTTCTAGGCGGAAAAGGACGCCTCTTCCCCCGGCCTCCGCGCGCTCCCGCTCCGCAACGGCTCTCGGCGGGCTCCCTCCGGGCCTGCACGCCCCGTCGCACCACGTGGGCGCAGGGCGGGGGCGGCACCCTCTGTCCGTTCCTCGCTGGGTCTCCGGGGCCGGCGCCCCCGCCAAGCCCGAGGGGCCCCGCGCCCCCCCGGGCCCCGCCCCTACCGGGCCTCCCCGCCCCGGCACTCGCCGCAGCGGCCGCCGGCCTCGGCCTCGGCCCCGGCCCCGGCCCCGTCGCGGCCGCCGCCCGCGGGGTAGTAGCTCTGTCCGCAGCGGCTGCAGACCGAGGGCGCGCCCACGGCGTGCACGCGCTTGTGCCGGCGCAGCGCGGCGCCCTGCACGAAGCCCTCGCCGCACTCCACGCAGATGTGGGCCGGCTCCTCCGCGCCCGCCGCGCCCGGCCCCGGCGCGTCCCCGTGCTGCGCCCGCTGGTGCGCCAGCAGCCCGGCCGCCAGCCCGAAGCCCTTGCCGCACTCCAGGCACACGTAGGGCTTGGGCGCCGGCGCGCGCCGCGAGCGGGGCCCCGGCGCCCTGGCCCCCGCGCCGCCCGCGCCCGCGCCCGCCGCGGCGCCCTCGCCCGGCGCGCCCACCACGATGATGCCCTCGCCGTCGCCCACCGGGATGGCCAGCTCCCCGTCCGCCGCCGCCGCCGCCTCGGGCGCCTTGGCGCGGCGCACGCTGGCCGCCAGCACCTTGGCCGCCACGCCGGGCCCCGCCAGCTCGGGGTGCAGGCGCAGGTGGCGCGCGAGGCTCTTGGGCTGGCTGAAGCCGCGGCCGCAGCGCGGGCACACGAAGGGCTTGAGGCCGCTGTGCGAGCGCCGGTGCTTGGCCAGGCTCTTGCTCTGCGTGAAGCTGCGGCCGCAGTCGGGGCAGGCGTAGGCTTCTCGCCCGTGTGGATGCGCTGGTGCTGCATGAGGTTGGAGCTCCAGCTGAAGCGCTTGCCGCACTCGGAGCAGGCGTAGGGCTTCTCGCCCGTGTGGATGCGCCGGTGCTGCACCAGGTGCGAGCTCTGCGAGAAGGTCTTGCCGCAGTCGGCGCAGGCGTTCGGCCGCTCGCCCGTGTGCGTGCGCTGGTGCCGCGTCAGCTTGGACCAGTGGCTGAAGCTCTTGCCGCACTCGTTGCAGATGTAGGGCGCGGGCGGCCGCGGCCGCGGCGGGGGGCCGGCCGGGGGCGCCGACGCGGGCGGGGCCAGCTTGCCGGGGGGCCAGCTGGGCACGTCGTCGTCGTCCATGATCAGGATGTCCACTGCAAGGCAAGGGGCGGGTCAGAGGCCGCGGGGCCGCCGCGCGCCCTTCCCTCCGCGCCCGGCCCGGGGGAGGGGGGCCGGGGAGCCCCTCTGCCGCCCCGCCCGCCCCCAGCCCCGCCCACGGCGCCCGCCGTCCCGCGAGGCTCGCCCGGACGCGGGGAGGACCGACGGGACGCCGGCGGCGGCAGGGGCACGGGGCGGCCCCAGCGCGAGGCGGGCGTCGCGCCCGGAGAGTCCTGGCGCGGGGTGGGGGGGGCCCGCAGGGCCCCCCGCAGGCCCCTACCCCGGGGTCGGCCCCACAGCCGCCAGCGGCCCGACGTGCCGGGAGGGACCCCCGTTAGAGGTCCCGTCTGCCCGGAGGGACATTACGGGCCTTGGCCCTGCGGCGGCCCCGCTGGGGTCCGCGGGCTGAGGCCCGTCTGCCGCACCCCGACCTCTCCCGGCCCGGCCCGGCCCGGCGGCGAGCGGGAGCCCCGCCCTGCTGGAGTCCCAGCCCGCCGGCCCTCCGCGGCCCAGCCCCTCCCACCAGGCTCCGCCCCGCCCCAAACGCCCCACCCACCAGGCCTCAGGCCCCGCCCCTCACATCACGCCCCGGCTCCGTCCTTCACAAGGCCCCGCCCCCGAACGCCACGCCCACCAAGCCCCCCTCCGTCCTTCACAAGGCCCTGCCCCCAAACGCCACACCCACCAGGCCTCCGACCACGCCCCTCACAACGCCACGCCCAGCAGGCCCCGCCCCCAAACGCCACGCCCATCAGGCCTCCGGCCCCGCCCCTCACGAGGCCCCGCCCCTCAGCGACCCCGCCCCCCTCAGGCCCGTCCCGCGACGGCCGCCGCAGGGGCGCCCCGCGAGTCCCCTTCCAGGCTCGCCTCGGGTCAGCCCCTGCCCAGGCCCCGCCGCACCGTCCGCTCGGCCTGTCCCGAGGGCCCGGGGCGCACTGAACAGGCAGCGGGTGGGGACCCGAGCTCCGCAGCCACTGAGGGCGCACTGCGCCCTAACAGTCTCGGGCGCCGGCCTGCGGGGGGGGGGTGGGCCGTGGGCGCGCGCCGCTGCCGGCGGGGCAGGGGCGGCCTGGCGGGCACCGGCGCCCCTATCGGACGTCCCGCCCCCCGCGGCGGAGGGCGCTCTGGCCCTGGGGCGGCGAGCCCGGGCGGGCAGCCGGGATCCTCGGGGCGCAGGGCCGGCGCGCGGGGAGGCCTCCTCGGACCGGACCGGCGTGCGGGGGACTCGTCGGCCCCGGGCCCTGTGAACGCAGGCGGCGAGGGCGTCCTGCCCGCCAGCCAGGCGGGGCCTGCCGGCATCTCGGCCCCGCGGAGGGGCGGGGGAGGGCGCGCGGGCCCACAGGGGGTCGGCCCTTCCCAGGCCCTTCTCCAGGGGAAGAGCCGACAAGTCTCAGGGGTTCAGGAGCCCCGAAATGGAGCGCAGGGCCGCCAGCTGAGAAGCGGGGCGCAGCTACTCTCTGGACGGGCGGTGGGCCCAGGGCCTGGGCAGAACCGCCTGCGGGCAGGCTGGGGCTGGGGAGGGGGCGCCAGGCGGGAGCCCCAGCCGCGCCCAGCACCGCCCCTCCGCACAAAGCCCGATCAGGCAGATGTGGACGCTTGGGCGCCCCGCCCCGCTCCCGCCTGGCCTGTGTGTTGAAGACCTGCTCACTCCTGCCCCTCTCTGGCCACCTCTGCTCTGCAGGCCCCCTCCCCAGGCGCAGCCTGCACGTGGGGGGCTCTCAGCCCGCTCTCCCCCCAGACCCCTACAGGAGGCCTGTGGACCACCGGATGCAGAGGGCAGACTGTGTGGCCATCCTCGTCCTCACCTCAGGGACCAGCTACACTTGGGGGCCCTCAGCAAGCACCCCCTCCGCAGGCCCAGAGGCTCAGGCTCCTGGCACCCACGCATCCCTTGCCCAGCTGCCCACCAGGGCAGCCTTGCGCCCCCAGGAGGACTCTGGTCCCCATCAGGTCATTCCTGAGGCCACATACTCCCCAACAAACTCGAGGCTATGGGCTTTTATTTGGCCTTTCCACACAACTGGACCCCCCAAATGGGAGGAGAGAAGGTGGACACACCCATTGGACAGCGCCAGGAAGCCCCCGGCACCTCCACGCCAAGTCCTAGGGCAGAACTGGTGGGCGATGGGACCGCAACTGCAGCCCCAGGGGTGCCGGGCCACCCTGCCCGGCTCCACCGTGCCCTCAGAGCCCAAAGTCAGTGCCAGGAAGCAGGCCTGGCTCAAGGCCGCCCTCCAAGGGAACAGAGCACAACCCCACTTTCTGGGGCTGGGCACCCCATCTTCTCTGCCCAGAGGGGCCGCCCCGACTGTGACTTGCTCAGTGTGTCACTTCTGAGTTCCGCATGCTCTCGGGTCTGCGGGATGGCACTCCCGCTCCTCCAGCCCCGGTGCTCCCCGGGGCCTGGTGCTCCTCAAGACCGCAGGCTCCGCCTGGTCCTGCTCCCCAAGGCCTGATGCTCCCCTGGGACTGGTGCTCCTCAAGACTGCAGGCTCCTCCTGGTCCTGCTCCCCAAGGCCTGATGCTCCCCTGGGACTGGTGCTCCTCCGGGCTGCAGGCTCCTTCAGACCGCAGGCTCCTCCTGGCCCTGCTCCTCCAGGCCTGGTGCTCCCCGAGCCTGGTGTCCCTCCGGGTCTGATACTTCATGCTCCGAGTGCCCTGGCTGCAGCCTTCGCCTGACTGGTCCTCCATGGCTCCGGCTTCTCTTCACCCTCCTGACTCCAGAGGCCCCGTCCCCCCGTCCCCTCCTGTCCTACCTTGGGGACAGAAGCTGCTGCTCTCCACGCCTGAGCCCCCTCAGTGGCCTCCATGCCGGACCCCGGGCCGTGCCCCTCTCCCGGGCCTGGTCTCAGCAGTGGGGAGCCTCGCCCCCCTGAGCTTCCAGGAGGTGAGTTTGGGGCGCTTCTGGTTCAGAGCCCCCTCCCCAGCAACCCGTTCCCACGGCCACCTTCTTCCCTACGGCTCAGAGATCCAGCCCAAGGCTGGAGCCCCTTGGGCTGACACAGCTCCTGGGGCCCTAGCCCCACAAGCATTTACCTGGCTGGGGTGCAGTCATGTCCCCAGTCTGGGTGGCATGCCCCGCCCATGCAGAGCTCGGGCCCTGTTGGGGCTCCCCCACCCCTCCCGACAGTGCTGACCCGCAGGTCAACCTTTAGGGGTGGGCGCCTCAGAGCTGGCCCCAGTGGGGTCTCCCACCCCCATGCGTCACACTGGCCCTGGGCCCTGGAAGCCCCTCCTCACCAGCAGGGAAGCCCCACAGGCTCCAGGGCAGAGGCGGAGTCAGGGCAGGGGAGGGCCCCGGAGGTCTGGGCCTGGGGAAGGGGCTCAGCCCACGGCCGCTTCCAGGGCAGGCCGGTGCACCCCAGCCCCCGCACTGCCCCAGATGGAAAGCGCCTGAAGGTCCCGGGCCCCTGCAGGACCCGCTGGCACTGCCGTCTGCCACCTCCCTGCTCCGGCCATCAGCCGGACACACAGCCATGGCCTCCTTCGGCCCCGTGTCTCCCAGGAGGGTGCAGGTGGGGGCTCCAGCCACCCAGAGGAGGGGCCCAGACCCTGGACCGGGCCGTGAGGGACAAAGCCGTGCTCCCAGGGACACGCTGTTGGGGTGGTAGAGGCCCCAGCATCCTGCCCACACACCCTCAGGCTCCCACCACCCCGCGTGGCCCGGGAGGACTTCAGCGTCCCCAGGCGGCAGCTCAGAGGGCCTGGCAGGGAAGGGCGGTGCCAGAAGACCCCGCTCAGGGGCGTCGACCCAGTGGGGCTGCTCCAAGGATGAGACGCAGGCCACGTGGAACACCAGAGGCGGTCACCAGGGGTGCCAGAGTTGGGGCCGGGGGGCTGGTGTGTGTGACTATACCCAGGCTCTGCAGGGCTGCCCCTCCCAAGGCCCCATAAGCCCCCAGTTCCCTGGGGCCCCCCCAGCGTCCCCCTCCCCCCAACCAGCCAGTGGGGGCAGAGGGCAGGGCCTGACGTGCACGCTGTAGAAGGGCTGGCGGGGCTGGGACCCTGACCCTCCTCCACCACCCAGCGAGAGGCATGGGCAGGGGGCCTGCCGGAAGTCCCAGCACCCTGTCCCAGACCAGCCGGGCCGCACGCCTCCCCCAGGCTCTGCACCGGGATCTGGCCGCAGGCCGGCGAGGACAGGCCGGGTGGACGCCCCACACACACCAGGGCCCCACCCTCCCGGGAGCCAGGTGCCCAGCAAGGAGGGGGCTGCAGCTCGCCCAGGGGGGAAGAGGCAGCGGGCATGGCTGGACAGGGCGCTGAGGTGAGGGCACCGGCGCTGGCGGTCTGTAAGAATGCGAGAGGCGGCCCAAGAGTAGGTGCCGGAGACACAGCTGCGGGCAGGGCCTGGGGCTGGAGGGGTGTGCGGCCTGAGGCCAGCGTCCTGCCACGGCTCCCAGGGCCCTCGTGTGGTAGACAGTGGGGCCGTGCCCCGTGACAGCCCCCTAGTTGGCCCTGAAATCGCCCACCGGTGTGCGGAGAGCGAGGTTCACAGGAGACCCGGCTCCCTGAGCTGCCGCCCGCCCTGCAAAGGCAGGACCGGGGCAGTGGACACGCTGACCAGGCAGCCCGGGAAGGCTGCGGAGCCAGAGCAAGGGTGGCAGTGTGCCCGCCAGATCCCCCTGGCCACCTCACCTGGGTTCTCGTGGCTGGCCATCTGCTGGTCCTCAGAGTCCAGTGGCCCCGGTGACCAGGCCTCTTCCCGAAGCTCCATGGCGTCCCTGGGGGACAAGATGCAAGGACAGCATTTACAGGACCCTGAGGGCCACATGCACCAGCTCCAGCGGCGTCTCAGCACCCCGCAGGCCCCTGCCTCCCCCACCAGACCACAGCCTGGCCCTGCTGCCCCCCATGCCGGGCGCTGCTGCCCCCAAGCCAGACCCAACGGAAGGTGTGCCCATCCCGCCCACCCCCGCCCCACACTGTGCCCCAAACCGGCAGGTAGGCCCACCCACTGCGGCACCAGCTCCCAAGCCCCTCTGGACATGCCCGCACCGGAAAACAGGGGTTCACCCGGGTCCGCGCAGAGATGGGGGGACAAACCAAGCCACTGTCCTGCCTGCGCCGGGCAACACGGGCATCAGTCTCCGTCTGGCAAGCCTAGGTCCCGCAGGGCACCCCTGCTGTCCACTCAGCCTACACAGGGACCTTTAGGTCCAAATATGAGGTGTCCACGCTGTTACCCCCAGGGGTGTAACCCCACCCCCTGCAGGCCTGCCCCACCTCCAGGGGCTGAATCCCACCCCGTCACCAGGGCCACCCGTCACAGGCGCCTCATCCCACAAACAGGATGCTGAGGGCTCAGGCCCCGGCCGTCCCCGCTGTGCAGCGCCAGCGCCTCCCGGCAGGAGGGGAGTAAGGGACCCGCAGGAGCCCAGGTCAGCAGCACAGCCTGCGGCCAGCCTCCCGAAGAGCCTTCGGTCAGGCACCCCTCCCCTGAGGCTCCAACCCCCCCAAGACCCGCGCCAGGGCCCGCCGTGGCACAGACGGTGCTGAGGGTGTGGGTGCACGCCGGAACAACCCAGGGCTGCGGAGGGGTGCCCCACGCAAGGGGGACCCGGACACCCCCACTTGCAGGCATGGGGTGTGGGACACTTCCCAGTGGCCGCACTGCCACGGTGGGGGCAGCTGGGGCGGGGAAGGCGGTGGGCACACAGGGAGGCGCGGCCCCTCCTCCTGCCAGAGCGGGAGGGGGTTCCTGGAGCAAGCGCCCTGTCTGCAGGGCCCGGCCCCACGTGCCCACTGGGTGCCACTGCGGGGCCCTGCCCAGCCCCCCCCCCCCCCCCGCAGCCACCCAGCTCCCACCCAGGCGCCCAGCGGCGCGCAGAGCCGCGTCCAGGCGCACAGCCCCGTGCAGGCCCAGAGCCCCGTCCAGGCGCACAGCCCCGGCTGGGCGGGGGCCCCTCCCGCACGCACAGGAGCTGCGCAGCGACCAGACCGGGACAGGGGCTGCCGAGGTCTGGGGGGCCGGCCCGCAGGCAGCTGCGGGTGGAGCCTCTGCCCTCCAGGCACCGGCAGGGGCCGAGGCCGCCAGGGGTGCCCGCACAGCCGGGCCCGCGCTCATCACCAGGGGGCCGCACCGCCCACAGCAGGAGATGGCGGGTGACAGGCTGGGTGACAGGCTGCGCCGGGCAGGCGCCTCGGGGCACCGGGACGGGGCGAGGGCGCCCGAGGAGGGCTCCCGAGCAGCCGAGGCAAGGGCCGCGGGGGGGACAGGGAGGGCGCGGAGGGCAGTGAGGTCCCGCCCGCTCCCCGGCGCTCGGCACAGGGGGCTCCTGGGGCCCTGAGCCGCGCCAGCGCCCCACTTTCTCCTCGCGGCGAAGGCAGGCAGGGTCTCCGCCCCCCCGCCGCGCCCCCAGCCGCCCAATTAGCGCAGGATGCGCAGGCCGCACGGGTTGTTAAGCGCGAGACAAATTATCGTCATTATTGTTGTGATGAGTCCCGCCCACCGCCTGGCCGCGCGCCCGCCAATTATCCCTCCTTTCTTCCGCTGCCAGGCGCACCCCCTCCCCGCCGGGGTTCCCCTCTCCTGAGGAACCGGCCTCCCCTCCGCGGCGCCCCAGACCTCTGGGCCCCACGCCTGCCCAGCTCCCGCCCCACCACAGGAAAGCGCGGCCAGGCCCCTCCCTGCTCCGCGCCCCGGCCGGAGGGCGCCCCCGCCCCGCGCCTCCCCACGCCAGGCCCCCTTCCCTTTCCCCTCGGTCCGCAGCCGGAGGCTGCGCCCTGGGCGACATGCGCAGGGGGCCGCGGTGGGGGACAAGTGGCCCCTGACAGCCCGCGGGCAACCTGCCTGAGAGTGACAGCGAACCCCCAAGGTGTGGGAGTCGCCCAGAGTGCACGGTGGAGACAAGCCCGCCCGCCCCACCCACAGCGGGCCGGCACCCCACATCAGGGGGGCACTGGGGAGCCGGGGCCACCCACAAGGGGCAGGTCCGTCTGCAGCCCGCCAGCGGCAGGGGTGCGTGCAGCTTGGAAGAGGGCGCGCCGGGCGCTCACCCGGTGGGGAAAGCGGAGGCCGGCAGGGCGGGGCGCACCGCACCTGCGAGCTGCAAACTGGGGGCGCGCAGGCAGCACCGGGCAGCGGCTCAGCAAGGAGGACCTTTAAAAAGGTGCCTTGGCTCTGCTGCTCGCCTGGGCCACCCCAGCACACGCCAGCGGGGCAAAGTCCAGACCCCACTGCTCACAGGCCCCGCCCCAACCCCGTACCCCCCAGGCCCGTCCCCCACCTGGCTGGGCCAGTTCCCTCACCCTCGTGGAGCCTCCCACTTCCCCTCCGCAAGCCTGCCCCACAGCTCTGGGGCGCCTGCCTGCAGCAGACTGGGGCTCCCGGCGACCCCCCTCCCACCGTGGGACACCTCCCAGCGGGCAGCGCGCTGGGAAGGGGGCGCACGGCAAGGCATCCCCCCCAGAAGCCTCCCCGACTCCTCCTCCCAACAGGAGCCCCAGGGACTCATCAAAACAAAGCTCAGTGGCCTCCCTCAAGCACGCGGGCCCGCACACCTGGGGTCCGTGCGGGTGCTGGGGTCACCTGCCCCCACCCCAGAGGACAGCTCTCCCCACAAGGCAGGCCGCCAGGGTGCGAACCCGCCCACCACCTCCAGCAGTGGGATCTGGGCCTGCCCACCGGCCAGACTGGTGTCAGGCTGACCAGAGGGGCGGGCACTGACGGCTGAGACACGTGGAGGCTGGGGAGGGGGCGCCTGGACCACAGAGGTCCCCAGGTGGCTGGCGTTTGTTCTGGCCCAGATCAGCCACCGCTGCCCCTACCCGCACCACCTCACAGCCCGCCCTCACCCCAGCCCGTAAACAGCAGCAGCCGGACCCGAGCTGCGGCCAGGCTGACCCGGGCACCTCTGGGAGGAAGCCTGTGCTGTGTGCCCAAAGGCCGGCCGAGTCAACCACAGACCCCGGAGCAGGCCCCAAGGGCAGGGCTGGGGATGGGCGCGGCGAGGCACACACACTCTAGCTCCCACCAGAGCTGCTGACCCCGTGACTAGGGGCCCGACCCTGGGCGGCCCCAGGGACAGTCACGCCTGCAGGGAGAGTCTTGACCCTGCACCTGAGGGAAGAAGGCCCCGTGCCTTGTCCCCAAGCCCACGCCCGACACCTGGAGACCGGCCGGCCCACCTTGGTCCCCCCCAGGCCCCACCGTGGCGGAAGAAAGTCAGCGCCCAGACCTGCGGAGCCCTGGTCCAGAACACAGACCCTGCCGAGGCTGCTGTGGGGCTGGGCACACCCCCTAACCGGAGTGCCCCCTTCTGTCTCAGGCCTCTGAGGGCTCAGGACATGGAGTGCCCGGCACAGGGCCAGCCACCTGCCGAGGGCCCCCCAGAGCAGGGCCAGCTGGCCGCCGAGGTCCCAGCCTCAGCAGGTGGGGCCACGGAGCACCCGGGGGGCAGTGAGGCTGAGGGCTCCTGCCCCGAATACACGTGCCGCAGCCCCAGGTTGTGCCCAGACCTCACCATCGCCCTGCACCAAGCCCTGGCATTTCAGGAGACTGGGACGCTGCCTGGCCGTGGACTCCCCTCCCCACGGCCCCTAGGCCAGAACTGCCCCGGCACAGGCGCTGGGTCTGGCCGGGAGACAGGCCGGGCAGGGCTCCCCACCCGGGAGGCAGAGGAGGAACCGCCTGGGAAAGGGAAGTGACAGCCCCAAGGTCCCTGCCACACACACCTCACACCCTGCTGAGGCCCCTGGGCCGCGGCTGCAGCCCGGGGATGCCCGCCTGGCCTGTCCCGCCTGAGCACACACCTCACACCCGCCCTGCCCGGGCTCCAAACTCCTCCCCAGGTGACCGCGGCCACCCCTAGGGAAGCAGGTCCCCAAAGCAGCCCGCTCTCCGGCCAGGCAGGACCGCGGCCACCGGCTCGTTGGGACTGGAGAGGTCCAGTGCGCCGCTGGGCCGGCCGGCAGCGCTGGGGCCTGACCCAGGCGGGCCTGACCGCCCCGCTGACCCTCAGCCGCCTGCCGGGCGAGGGCCCTGGCCGCGAGGTGACCCTCCCTGCCCTCCTTCCGCTCCGGGGGCGAACAGTGGGTCGGAGCCGGACCTGGGAGGCCACCAGGAGGAGGGGGGCCGGACCGGCCGAATTAGGACCCGGTGCCGACGGTCGGCGGGGCCGGGCGCTCCGGGCCAGGAGGCTCACAGCCCCGGGGACACGCCCCCGGCCCGACGCCCTCGCGGGGCCCTCCGGGCGGCCGGTCGCCCGGTGCAGGGGCTCGTCGGGCCCCGGTCCGATCGTGCCCGCGTCGCGGCGCTGGGCTGCGGCAGGGCCTGCCCCCCGGACCCCGCGCCGGACCCCGGGACAGCACGTGCGCGGAGGGGCCCCGGGGCCCGGGCGGGGGCAGCGTCCGGCCCGGCCGGGCGCGGCGCCGACCTTGGCGGCCACTTCCCTCCGGCGCACGCGCTTCCTGCCGCCGCCCGCGAGAATGAATGGGCCGGGCCGGGCCGGGCGCGGACGGCGGCCACGGCGCGCGGGCGGCGGGCGCCGGCGGGGGTCGAGCCCGGGCTGCGGCCGCCGCTTCCGGCCCGGCCGCCGCCCCCTCCCCCCCCGGCCTCGACTTCCCCCGAGTCGCCGCTACTTCCGGCCACGACCCGCGGGACGCCGCGCGGGACGGCGCCCCCCCCGCGCCCCCGGCCCCGGCCCCGGCCCCGGCCCGCCGCGCGCGCCCCCGCCGCGCACGCGCACTCGCCGCCCGCGCGCCCGCCGCCCGCGCGCCGCCCCCCGCGCCCCCCGCGCCCCCCGCGCGCCCCCCGCGCCCGCCCCTCACCTCCTCGGTCCCGGGGCCGCCGCGCCGCGCTGCTGCTCCTCGCTCCTGCCGCGCGGGCGGTGGCAGCGGCGGCGGCGGCGGCGGCGGCGACTCAGACCCTGGGGTCAGGGGGACGGGCGCCCAGGCCGGAAGTGACCTTCCCGGCCGCTTCCGCCCGCGCCGCTCGCCCGCCCCCTCCCCCTCCGGCCGCCACCCCGGCCGCGCCGCTCTAGGAAGGCGCGCCCGCCGCCCCCCGGCCGCCGCCCCCCCAGCTCGCTGGTGCGCGCGGGCGCCACTTCCGGACGCCTCTAGGACGCGGGTCCTCCGGCCGCGCTCTATGGCGCGCGCGCGAGGGGCTGCGGCCCCGCCCCTCCCTGCCCGAGCGCGGGCCGGCCCGTTAGGCGGAGACTTCCGGGCGCGGGGGCGGCCCCCGGCCCGCGCCTGCGCGCTCCGCTCCCGCCGGCCGCCCGGGGGCCGCTCGCGCCGCCCGGGTCCGCCCGCGTCTCTATCCCCGTAACCCCTTCGCCGCCGGCGGCGTCCGCGCACCCGGGGCCCACGTCGCCGCCGCCGCCGCGGGACCGCCCGCCGCGCCACCTGCTCGCGCTCCGGGCTCGGGCGGGCGAGACGCGGCTCTGGCCCCCGCGGCCGTCCACGCCCGGCCGCGCTCCTGGCCGAGGCCAGGCCCCCCGCCCCTCCGGGACCCCGCCCCCTCCGGGACCCCCGGGACCCCCGCCCCTCCGGGACCCCCGCCCCCTCCGGGCCCCGCCCCCTCCGGGACCCCCGGGCCCCCGCCCCCTCCGGGACCCCCGGGACCCCCGCCCCTCCGGGCCCCCGGGGCCCCCGCCCCCTCCGGGACCCGCCCCCTCCGGGACCCCGGGACCCCGCCCCTCCGGGACCCCCGCCCACTCCGGGCCCGCCCACTCCGGGCCCCGCCCCCTCCAGGCCCCTCGCCCGGTCCAGGCTCCTCGGTCTGTCCACGCGCCTCGCCCCGCCCACGCCCCGGGTCTGGTCCACGCTCCCCCCACGCTCCGCCCCGTCCAGGCTCCTCGGCCGTCCACGCCCCCCGCGGCGCCTGGGGCCGCCGCCAGCCACCACCTGTCTTGCCGCCCGCGCCTCGCGGGTGGGGCGCAGGGGCAGGGACACGGCCGCCCGCCCGGCCGCTGCCCGCTGAGTGCCCACGGGGGCCGCGGGCCGTGAGGGGTCCCCGCCGCAGGCCCCGCGCTGGGGCCCCGGGGCAGGCCCGAAATAGCGCGCCGCTGGCGCTGAGGGCGGCCGGCGCGGAGAGGACTGCTCGGGTGCCCGCGCCTTCCCGCTGCCAGGCGTTTCTGGCGCCGAAGGCCATGCCGCTGGCCGCCGCCGCCGCGCTGGCCGGATGTGGAAGCTGTTGCTAACGCAGGGGGTTCCAGCGTCTTCCAAGGGGCCAGCCTGCCGGGAGGAGGCAGGGAGGCCCCGGGCCGGGTCTCAGCAGCTCCAACAAGAAACCTGCGGTTCAACGGCTGTCCTGCTCCTGCGCCCTGGGGGCTGCAGGCTCTGCCCTGCCTGCCCGTGTCCCCTCATAGCCGTCCCAGAGCCGTACTGCAAGCTGACCCTCGCGTTTCTGTTCACAGCCCCGGGGGCTGCCCGCGTGGGGGCTGACCTCCCACTTCAGCTGACCTCTGAGGCTGCGGGGGAGGCTCCAGCCTATCCCCAGACGCAAACCTCACAGCCCCAGCCAACTGCACTATGGCTGGAGGATTCCCATGTGGGGCCCCTCTCCGCCCCCCAGAGCCGCTCCAGCAGCCGTGTGCCCACCTCCATGTCCTCCGCTGCGGGTCCACTCTGCCTGTGATGCACCTGGGCGGCACGCCTCCCAGTGCTCCCACCTCCCCTGCCATCTCTGTGGTGACAAGGACTCCCCACGCCCAGACCCCACAGAGGGCAGGGGCAGCGCTGCAACTCAAACCTGTGCCCGTCTGACCCTGAGATGTGTGTCACTCTTTTGGGGCTCCCTTTGAGGCCCCTGGGGCCCTGGCACTTAGGAATGCTGTGATCCAGGTGTTTGACTGCTCTGTACAACCGACACAAACCTTAAGCAACCAAGCCCCAGGAATTCGGTCCCAAAGTAGGAAGATGGTAGCAGAGCTCACGTCACCCAAGCCAGAAACAATTCAAACATTTTTAAGGCAACAAAAAGAAGTTGGGGGGGGGGAGCAGGAGAATGTTTTGTGTAACAGCAAGAAAGAAAAAAATAACTAGATGAGACAACTTCAGGTGCGGTTTGATCCAGGAGCTCAAAAGTATCGCCAGGGGTCTTATGCCATCTATTGTCCCAGTTTCCACTCCACCTGTTATAGAGCAACCCCGATATTAAACGGGTTCCTGGCTGTGGGTCCTCACCCGCGCGCTTGGCTTTGAACGGGGGTGGGGGTAGAGTCCACAAAGCCTATATGGAATTTGCTTTGGGACATCCTTTTTCCCCCTAACACACCCACATTTGACTGGGAGAACGTCCAGGAAAGTTGGTGCCCACCTTTGTCTGCCTGGCCCTGGCGAGTGTCTGGCTTTGTTAGGTTGACTGTGATTTGGCCCTGGCTGGCCTTCCCATGTCCTGGCGCCGGGATGGGCCAGCGTCTTCTAGAGTCTCCTCTTTAAGGGTGTGAATCCCATTCTGCAGGGCTCCATCCACAGGAGCTGACCACCCCCCAGAGGCCCGCCTCTTAGCACCCCACACTGGACGTGGGGCTCCCGGGATGGAGGGGGGGTAGGGTGTCTTGGCCTCCCTCTCTGAGGGGAGAGCGCACACAGACTTGGAGCCTGGCCCTGTGGCCCCAGGGTGCTGTCCCAGCTGCAAAGACCCCGCTCCCAGGCTGGCGCTGCGGCCCCCAGCGCTGCTCACCAGGCAGTGGAGGAGCCCGCAGCAGAGCCCAGCAACCTCCTGCCTCTGTGTGCCCCTGACCGCGTCCAGCCCAACACCCGCACCCCGACCGCCTCCCTGGGCAAGGGAACCCGCTATGACCCACGGGTACGGCTGGTGAGGAGGCTGCACTGGCAGCTGCAGAACCTCCAGCGAGTTAACGAGAGGTCCTGGCGGTTGGGCTTAGTGTAAATAAACAGCCGTAAACCCGCAGGGGCTGTCCGGGCTGTAAACCCCGGAGAACTCCCAGCGCGCCTCCCGCCCCCGCCCTCCTCCTGCGGTTCCGCTCCAAGCAGCGCTGCTTCCTTTTTGTTGTTGTTTTAAAGATTTATTTATTTACGCTACAAGAACTGGGGTCTGGGGTACAGGTCAGAGGTGTGTGTGGGGGGTGAGAGGACTCCCCAGAGACAGAGTGGGGAGCAGAACAGGCGGATCCACTGAAATCCACTGCTGAGGGGAGCAGGGGGGAGACAGGAGGGGTCTGCTGCGCCCTGTGGGTAGCTCCCTGGCTGGGGATGGAACTCGTGCTGCAGAGGCTGCGGACAGCTTCAGAGTGCTGAGACTTAACCCCTGTGCCACCAGGGAGGCCCCAAATTAGCAATTCTTTAGTGTGGGACCGGAAGTGTCTGGGCGGTGGTTCTGGTGTGACCCCATACCCCCAGGTCCCTGCGGGAGGGAGGTGGGCCCGGCCCCACAGAGGTCCAGGTCCAGCTGCATGCGGTCGCCCAGGCCGGCACCCAGCCCTCCCTCCAGCGGCCGGGTGGGCTGGGGCTGTAGACAGCCCAGAAGCCCCACCACCTCTGTGCGTGACGGGGTCCCTCTCAGGGCCTGGGGTCCCCAGAATAAGTGGCCGTGCACGGAAACGTGGCCTTGGGGCAGGCCGGGGTCTGTCTTGACAGATGTGACACAGGCAACTCTGAGGTGTCGTGTCGGCACAGGCCAGGCCTCCCCATCTGGGAGTGTCCGGGGTGTGCATCTTAGGCGAACCGTATGTCTCCCCAAATCCATAATGGAGGGAGAGCCAGCCCTGCCACCCCCTCTGGGGCCTGCGGGCACCGTCAGGGTGGAAGCTCCTGGAGGGCTGTGCTGCCCCCAGCACAGCAGACCCCACGCCCACGGCAGAACTGGTGGGCGCCCCTAGTTGTGGAAGACACCCCTTCCTCCCCGCTGCTCCCCGGAGGGACAGCTGGCCTGCCCCCACCTGCCTGCCTCCAGGCGCACTCAGGACCCTGCTGTTCCTCAACAGCACCCTGGGGGCTGGTCCCTGGGGCCACCGGGGCCTCCCCGACAAGGGCAGGAGCCTGGTTTGGACCCCAGGGCCCCTCCAGCCTTAGGCCTGCCCACACCCGCCCCCCACGGCGGTCAGCTCCCCGCAGACCCCAGCACCCCGGCTGTGAGTTGGCGGGAGGTGGCTTTCCTCTGCACCTCCTCGCAGCGGAGGGAGGGGGCCGGGCGGGGCGGCGGGGCCGGGCTGGGGCCGCCAGGGAATCCCCGCCGGACTGGCCGAACCGCGCTGGCCTCGGGGGCGGGGAGCCGGTGCCGGTGCCGTAGGCTCGCAGCCCGCTGGCGCCCCCAGCCCCGCGCCCCGCGGAGGGAGCGGACCCCGCCAGCCTCCGGGGGCCCGCGGGGGCCGGACCTGCGGGGCCCGCTGACGCCCGGGCTGGGGGAGCCCCTGGGGGCGGCGGCGGGCGAGACTCGCTGAGCCGCGGGAGCCCGGCCTGAAGCCATTGGCTCGCAAGCACCCCGCGCGCTCCCCGGCCCGGGGAGGGGGGACTCAGCGCCCGCCCGGCCGCGCGCGGGTGGGGGCGGGGAGGGGGGCGCCGGCCCTCGGGCACCCCGCGCCGGCCGGACCGCGGCCGCTCGCGCCCTCACCCTCCTGGCGCCTCCAGCGCCGGCCGGGACCAGCGAGCCCGACGCCTGGAGGATGAGCCCCGCTTTACAGCCGCACACAAAGAGCGGCTAATTATTATTTTGTGATAATTACAGCGGCCTACAAAGGCGCCGAGGCCGGGCAGGGTACGGCTGAGGGCGCTGCCAGAGAAACGGGCCCCTCGGGCTGGAGAAGTGGGGCGAGAGCCGCTGCCTTCCAGGCGGGGGCTGGCAGCCTCGCGGCTCTGGGCGCGGCTCAGCAGAGGGGGTGGGGGACGCGGGCAGACACCCACAGCCAGCCCAGCAGCGGGTGCAGAGAGAGGGGCTCGGCCTGGACGCTGGACACTGCCATGAGATTTGTGGGGGTGGTGGAGGTCTGGGAGGGCTTCCTGGAGGCGGCAGCATCTGACCTGGCTGTCACCGAGGGAACCATGTGATACAGTGAAGAGGTGAGGGAGCACATCCCTGGGAGTCCCCCCTCAGTTCACGCCGCACCACCTGGCCCTCCTGAGTCCCACCCACGAGTGGACAGGTGTTTGGCTCTGGGACTTGCTCGTCTGACTTTGAGGACTGGTGACTTGAGGGGCTCATTTCCTGAGAGGTGACCCCGGTAGGCGGAGTGCTCCCGAAGGCGGGGAGGTGGCTCTCAGCACCTTGGGAGGTTCCTCCATCTCCTGGCCCTCCTGCCCCCAGGCGCGCCTATGAGGGAAGAGGGAACAGCAGGACAGATCACCTGTAGTTTAGGATTTGGGAAAACACACGCCCCCACATGCCTTCACCTCTCTGTGGCCAGGTGTCCTGGGCCAATCTCTGGCAAGAGGCTGGGAGCTGCCCCAGGGGCCGCCACTGGGATGCTGAGCCCTGACAGACATGGCACGGTGGCCTGAACGGGGACCCGGGCAGATCCTGTGTCCTCCCAGCCCCCCCAGCCTGTGGTCCTAATGGGCACCAGCAGACATGAGGGATGGGTGGGGAGTGCGGATAATTCCCCCCCCCGGGGGTGGTGGGGGTCCATGCCTGGGGTGGCTTAGTCCTACACTCAGCTCCTGTTCCAGCTCCTTCCTCTCCGCAGGGCGGCGTTCTGAGGGCAAGCAAGCTGGCACTCAGGAACGCCTAAGAGGGCACTCACTGGGGGCACGGCTGTGGGTGCACCTGAGCATGCAGCAGGATGCCTTGCAAGGCTCCCGAGAACACAGTTCTGGGCCCCCCATGTGTCTGCCCCAGAGGGTCTGAGCTGGAGCAAGGGTTTGTGGGTCTGGCAGTGTCCATGCTGGAGTCTGAGAGCCACTGGGCAGCTGGGGAGCAGGGTGAGGGAGCACAGTGGTGCTGGGCTGTGGGGGGTGAACTGGATGCTATCCCGTGGGCACTGGCCCAAGCGGGACATGGTGGCAGAAATGACCTGGCCAGGCCTGCAGCCACTCTGCCTGGCGCCAGCCCTGATCTGCACAGGCAGCCCGGATGCAGCCGGTTCTGAAGGGGCCCAGCGATGGAGCCTGGGCAGGCAGGGCTGGGCTGTGAGCAAGAGCCCTTGGGCCCTGGTGCAGGGCAGCATGGAGGCGCATCGGGCCCCCTGGGGCAACTCCCTGGTGTTCCAGACCAACACATGGGGCTCCACCCCACCCCAGCAGCAGCGCTGGGACCCGTGCCCCCATTGTGTTACCACACGGAGGCATGGCAAAGGGTCCTGGGTGCACAGCGCTCCGGCCCCAGTGAGGCAGGCCTGGCTGTTGCTCCACCGAGCCCATCTGCCCTGACGGGGCCTGGCTGGGGCACAGGTGTGAGATTCCTTTCATTTTTTAAAATTTTTTAATTTAAATTATTTTTTAAAAGGTTTATGTATTTATGCATACAAGAGCTAGGGTACAGGCCAGAGGCGCAGGGGGTGAGAGGATGCAGCAGAGCGGGGTGCAGAACAGGCAGAAGGACCAAAATACACTGCTGAGGGGAGCAGCGGACGAGACAGGAGAGGTCTGCCGCGCCACGTGGGAATCTCCCCGGCTGGGCGGGGATTGATCAAGCCAGAGCCGCGGAGGCTGCAGACAGCTTCACAGGGCAGCACTCAACCCGCTGCACCACCGGGGAGGCCCCAGCGAGATTCCTTTTATATTCGGCTCCTGGGTTGTAAAATGGACCAACAATTTCAAGGTTGACCTCTCCTGTCTCCTCGCTGCTCCCCTCAGCAGTGGGTCTCAGTGGATCCACCTGTTCTGCTCCCCGCTCTGTCTCTGTTTGAGTCCTCTCCCCCCCACTCTGGCCTGCACCCCAGCTCTACACACAAAAGGGAAACAAACTGATTGGTGCTAGATGGTCCAATCAGGCTTCCAGGATGGGGGCTTCATAAGGCACGGCAGGCGCTAGGCTCCCAATATTCTGTTCCTGACCTCTGAGGGAAAAAAGGGTCAGCAGCTGACCTCTGGAAAAAGACAAGAAGCTGCGGTCCTTTGCAGAGACCCGGCCTCTGCACCTGCCCTGCCCAGCCTTGACACGGCTAAGAGGCCCTCTGCCTCGGGCCACACCAACAGCTCACCAAGAGCTGTAACACCGCCTCCTGGTGACCGCACCGCGGGCCAGCGCGGTGAAGCACCGTCAACAGGCGACCTCTGTGTCCGGGTCACCTCTGAGAGCTGTCCACGGCTTCTGGCTGGCTGGCAGTACCTCCCGGTGCTCTTGCGATTGTCCGGCCCGGCGTCCATTGCTGTCCAGCCCCGCCTGCACGCCGCTGCTGCGGTCACGTGGGCAGCCTCACCTGTGGGCGCCGCAGCCGCCACCCGGAGCGGGCCCGGCCCCGGGCCCGCGCGTCCTGCCCGCGAGGGCTGGGGCTGGGGCTTCTGGACGCGGGGCCACTCGCCAGGGCGAGACAGGCGGCCGCAGACACCCCCGCGTCCCGTCCCCCGCTGCGGCTCCCCGAGCCCGCGCGGCTGGCGGCGACCGTCCCCCCCGCGCGAAGGCGCAGCCCCGGGCCGCGGGGCCTGGCCGCGCGCGGGGACCAGGAGGCGCCCCGGGCCGCTCCCGGGCGCCAGGACAGCGTGTGCGCGGGCCGCCTGGGCTCGAGCCCGCCAGGGAGCCCGTCAGGGGGCGGCGCGCGGCGCGCGGCGCCCGGGAGCGCTGGGCCTGGCGGGGTCCCGCCTGTCTCCCCAACCAGGCCGCCCCGCGCGCCCCGCGGCCAGCCTGCGCCGCCCGGCTCGTCCGCGCCCACCCGGCCCGCGCGCGCCAGAGGGACGCGCCGCCTGCATCCTGGGAAACGTAGTCCGAAGCCTGGCGCACGGCGTGGCTCGGGAGGGCGCGCCGCGGCCCTTCGGTGCACCTTGGGAAATGTAGTTCTAGCGCTTGCCGAGCCGCCTGCGGACGGACGTGCGAACGTCGCCACGGCGCGGGCCAAGGGAGCCCGCCTTTGCCGCTATGCTTCCTGGGAAATGTAGTTCCTGGCGAGGCCGGCGGCCGTGGAGGCGTGATTTGTGGGGCGGGGCCGGCGACTGGCTCTCAGCGAGCGCGGCGGGGCGGGGGGCGGGGCGGGGGGGCGTGCGGCTGCGCGCAAGGCCTGCCGGGGCATGGAGTCCCGGTGAGCCCAGTGCGCATGTGCGGGGCGGCCGGGGGTCGGGGCCGCGCCTGGGCGAGCGGGGTGAGCGGGGGGACGGAGGCGGCGTGCGGGGCGGTTGGACGAGCCCTTTAGGCCGGGGCGGGAGGCCGGGGCAGGGGGAAGGGGAGACGGGCCGGACGGGCAGAGCGGCTGGGGGAGGGCACGGCGCGGGCGCGGGGGAGGGCGGGTGGGGGAGGGGAGCGCCCCGCGGGGGTCGTGCATCGTGGGGGAGGGCGCGCCCCGGCGGGGGAGGGGTTTGTCGTGCGCGTCGGGAGGGGGGCGGGGGGGCGCGCCCCGAGGGGGCGGGGACGCTGGGCCCGGCCGGGGCGTCGGGGCGCGGGGACCGCCCCGTGGGGCGGGTCTGGGGCGGCGTGGGGGGCGGCGTGGGGGGCGGTCTGCCTGCTCGGGCGCGCGCCGGGGGTCCCGGGCTGCGCGTGGTGCGGCCTTCCGGGGGCGGCGCCCCCACCCCGCGAGCTGGCGCCGGGCGCCCCGCGGCTGGGGGTGCCCGGTGCCGCCCCGGCCCCCCAGCCGCCGCGGGGCGCCCCGCGCGCTGGCAGCCCGCCTGGCCGAGGCTCGGCCGCCGGGTCTTTGTTCCCGCCCCGTCGGGCTGTGCGGGGCCGGCCGGGCGCGCGTCCCGCTTTGCAGCGCCCGGGCCCAGCCTGAGTAAATGGCAGCGCCGGGCGCTCAGCTGTGGCCGGACACGTGGCGCCGTCGAGCCTCCTGTGGCCGCGGGGTCAGGGCTGGCCCGAGGGGGGCGCCGCCCCGTCCTGCACTCTCGGGTCCCCGGCGCGGCCGGGGCAGGGCCCTGCGGTCCTGGGAGGTTGGGAGGTTGCGCCCTGCGGGTCTCCCCGCGGCCGCCCCGGTGCCCGGGGTCGGGCAGCTTTCCCGAGGGAGCCGGGTCTTGCCCCCAGCGGGGCCGGGCGCTGGCCTCAGGGGGACTCCTCACCCACAGAGTGGGCGCAGCTGACGCGTGAGCAGGCGGTCCGCCTTGGGGTATCCACTGCTCTGGCTCCGAACCCCTCCTGCTCTTAAGGCTGCCGAGGCCCCAGCGCTGGCCACTGTGGCCTTCCGCGGTGGGGGTCAGCAAGGGGCCAGCTCCCCCGGTGCCCACGGAAATGGTTCTGTGTTTAACTGAAAGTGACCGTGTCTTCCGAGGTGGGCAGGCAGAACAGTGTTGTTTTCTGGGGGACTAGTGGACCTGCTGGTCAGCACGTCCCCGGGTCCCTTGTGTCCAGCGGACAGGCCTTGGGAGAGCAGCTGATTCACTCTGCAGGCTCCTCTCTTCATGCCACCTCGTTTTCCTGGGCACTGGGGGTGCTTGGTGGCCTCTCCGGCTCCTCACAAGGTCAGACTTTTGTTGGGGTGCTTTCTGGAGCCCCCGGTGTTTCTGGGGCCTGTGGACTTGTTGAGAGCCCATGCACACGGCCACCCCCCTCCTTGTGGCTGGAATCACTCCCACGAAAGTGTCCCTTCTTGGGAATCGGGAGCTGGGGTGGGAGGGTCTTCAGGGTGGGGGGTCTCTGGAGAATGGAGGGGGCTCTGGAGGGTGGGGCCATCCTGCCGAGCTCTGTCACACCTGGGTCTGCAGCCTGGCAAGGGGCCTCCGGCGTTCCCCTCGCAACCCGCCTTGGGGGGTGGGAGTTGGGGACTTGGCTATGCTGACCCTGCCCTTGCTCCACGCGGCCTCCCTCCTCGTAGGCCCCGGCCCTGGCCCTGGGGCAGCCCCCTCCCTTCAACCTGAGCTCCGCTGGGGTAAACCGAGGCGCAGAGAGGCCCCTGCAGGTGGCCTGAGACGCGGGTGCAGGGATGGGGCTGCCGGGCCGCTGAGCCCTCCGCCACTCTCGCCCCACAGGCGCTGCGCCTGGACCGAGCCTGCCCCATGGAGGTGCCGGCGCCGCAGGCGGTGAAGCAGGAGGGTGTGGCCCCCGAGGGCCCAGCCCTGGACTCCCCGTGGCACCGTTTCCGCCACTTCCACCTGGGAGACGCGCCCGGGCCGCGCGAGGCGCTGGGGCTGCTGCGCGCCCTGTGCCGGGACTGGCTGCGCCCGGAGGTGCACACCAAGGAGCAGATGCTGGAGCTGCTGGTGCTGGAGCAGTTCCTGAGCGCGCTGCCCGCCGACATCCAGGCCTGGGTGTGCAGCCGGCGGCCGCAGAGCGGGGAGGAGGCCGTGGCACTGCTGGAGGAGCTCTGGGTGAGCGCGGGCACCGGGCGGGGCGCTGGAGGGGGGCATCGGGCGCCGGGCACTGGGGGGCATCCAGCCAGCCTCTCCCCTCCTGGCTCTGGTGCGAGGTGGGACCCCTGCTGTGACGGCCATGCAGACCTGGCAGTGGACCCCTGAGGGCCGCCGGGTGAGTCCTGGCCCCCACGCACACAGAGGGTGGGCCATGCGGGGGCGGGCCCGATGCTCCCTTGTGCCCACGTCCAGCCGGGCCCACAAGGTCTGGGGCTCGGGCGCCCCGTGGCCGCATCCCTGGGAGCAGAGCTGGGCGGCCCCTGCTCTCCGGCTGTCCTCCGAGGCCCTGGTGCCCGCACCCCAGGGGGCCATTCTCCCGCCCGCCCGCCCCCACCTGCCCGGCTGCCCCCTTTCTGTCTTGGGGCCCCACTCCTCAGCCTCGGGGGCCCCTGGAGTCCCACTCCTGCAGGAGGCTTCCTCTGCTGGGAGGACTCTGACCAGGGGTCAGCCGCCGGGGCAGGCCTTTCGGGTGGACGCCTCCCTGTTGGGTTCCTGTGGGATCTCAGGTCACACGCAGGGGCCGCTCCCGCAGGGAGGGCCGTGCCCCTCTGTCCCGCCTCTGCTGGGCACCCTGGCCTGTCCGGGCCACGCGGGAGCCCTGGCCGGGAGCCCCAGCAGCCCTAAGAGCCCAGGGAGAGGGTGGGGAGCAGCGGGCGGTGGGTCTCCGTCCCTGGTCGGGGGCGGTGGCGGGGAGGGTGGTGCACAGGACGGCTCTCCCGTCAGGGGGTGGGGCGGGTCCGGCAAGCCCCTGAGGGCCAGCGGGGCGGTCCCCGGGGTGGGGAAGCTGAGGCTGGGGAGCGGGGAGAAGGCCGGCCGGGCTGCCGGCGTGGACGGACGCAGGGTCTCTCCTCCCAGGGGCCAGCGACCAGGGCGCCTCGGGACGCCGTCACGGGCCCCACGGGCAGCGTGGCGAAGGAGGAGGGAGCGGTGATGCCCTTAGGTGAGCCCCCTGCGCCCCCCGCCCGGCCCCTCTGCACAGCCGCGGGTACCGTGCCCCCGCCCCAGGTGGCCGGCCGGGAGGAGGCGGGAAGCGGCGGCGGCGGCGGCTCCTCCCCAGCATTTCGGTTTGCAAGGCCGAGGCCGGTGTGTGCGCGGCCGGGGGCAGCCATCGGTGCCTGCGGCTCTCCGGGTCTGTGCCCCGCGCGCCCCGCCCCGCCCCTCCGCACCCCCACCTGCTCCCGGCCCCCCCCCCCCCCCCCCCCCCGTCTTGGGGCGCGCCGGCGCCTGACTCTGCGCCTTGACCCGGCAGGAGACGCGGCCCCCGAGGCCGAGGCGCCCGCGGCGGGGGAGGCCCCGGCCGCGCGCCCCTACAAGCAGGAGCCCGGCAGCCCCCCGCCGGCCCCCGGCCTGCCCGCCTTCCTGGCGGCCCCCGGCGCGGCGCCCGCGTCCTGCCCCGAGTGCGGCCAGACGGCGCTGCCGCCCGCGCACCCGCTGCGCCGCCGGCCGAGCCCCGCGGGCGAGAAGCCGCACGCCTGCCCCGACTGCGGCAAGGCCTTCCGGCGCAAGGAGCACCTGCGGCGCCACCGCGGCACGCACCCCGCCGGGCCCGGGCCCGCGCTGCGCCCGCTGCCCGCGCGCGAGAAGCCGCACGCCTGCTGCGAGTGCGGGAAGGCCTTCTACTGGCGCGAGCACCTGGTGCGCCACCGCAAGACGCACTCGGGCGCGCGCCCCTTCGCCTGCTGCCAGTGCGGCAAGGGCTTCGGCCGCCGCGAGCACGTGCTGCGCCACCAGCGCATCCACGGGCGCGCGGCCGCGGCCGGCGGGGTGGCGCCCCCGGGGCCCGAGGGCGGGGGCCCCTTCCCGCCCTGGCAGCTGGGGTAGCCCCGCCCCGCCCCGCCCCGCGCGCCCCCGGCCCCCCGGCCCCGGCCGCTCCGGAGGAGGGGGGGCCCGCGTTAAGGACCGGCTGCGGGAGCCCCCTCAGGACCCACGGGGCGATGAAGTCTGGGGACGCGCCTGTGCGGCCTGGGCCCAGCGAGGAGGGGCCGCCCCGTCCGCAGGTCCCCAGGGAGGGGCCGGCCTCCTGCTCGGCGGGGGGGGGCGATGCCGGGGCGCAGCCTGGGGTGAGGGCGCCCTGCACCTCCCGCTGCTTCAGTCGCCGGCTGCCTGAGGCCGGCCAGGCCCGCGCAGGTCGGGGGAGAGGCGCCCTTCCATCGGGGACTCCCGTCCACCGCCCCGGCTCCTGCGAAGCCCCCAGACCCCGACTTCCCCTTGCACCCCCGGCCCGGTCCATGTCCACCAGGGTGCCCTGCTCCTCCTCCCCCAACTCAGCTCAGTGCCTGGGTCCCGGGGAGCCTCGGCTCAGGTGGGGGCCCATTGCCCACCCCTCCACCAGCCTGGGGAGCTGCCTCTGGCTGTGGGAACAATCCCCCCAAATGGAGGGAGGTGCTGGGGGCTGGGCCGGAAAGCAGGTCCCCAAGCCCCGCCCCGGGCTCCTCCCACGCACCCACGTGACACCGTCCTGCGGTGCCCCTCCGGCATCCGTGCCCCCTGCCCGCGCCCCCTCCACCTTGCCCAGGCCTGGGCGTAAGTGGTTGCCTCTGCCCAGGTAACCCCACCTTGCCTGGCTGCGGCGAGCACGCCCTTGCCACCTGCCAGGCCCCACACCTGTCTCTGTCTCTGGCGAGGCTTTGGGGGAGTGAGTGGGCCCCTGGCGTTGGCCGCCTGCAGAAGACTGGCCGGCCCCATGACAGCGAGTCTGGAAGGGCCCCAGGGCCTGAGGGCGGGGGCTGCGCTGGGCTGGCCAGTGAGGTGGGAAGTGCTGGCTTCCAAGCCAGTGCCCGCCTATCCCTGCCCAAAGACAAGTGCTGGGGGGCAGAGGAGCCCGGTGCTGCGGGTCGGGGTGCAGGCAGGAGCACGGAGAGCAAGCTGGGTTCACCTCAGGCAGCCCAAACCGGAAAAAACCTACAACCTGGGCCTGGACCCACAGACTTCGAAGCCAGCTGTGCTTCCCGCAGCCCCGTTTGCAGTAGCGGGGACCGGATGCCCCCGAGTGGCCGAGGACAGGCTTAGAGCAAGAAGCCGGCGCGCGCTCCCCGGAGTGTTCGCCAGCCCCGGAGCCGGCTGGGCCGCGGCCCTCCCCAGCGCAGCGGCGGGGGCCTGGGAGACGTGCGCGCGGGCCGGAGAGCGGGAGCAACAGAGGCTGGACGCCTGCACGGCGGGCACCGCCATGTGGAAACACTTGCAGAGCCCCAGGAACATCCGTGAACCCCGAGGTTAAGAGGGAGGGGGTAACCATGGGACGGGGATGTGGGGGGTGGGGAGAATAAAAGTCACCCGCCTCTCAGGGAGTCGCAGCGTCTCCTTGCAGGCCCGGAGGTGGGAGGCGTGGCGCGCCTCGGCCTCCAGCATCCGCCACTTCCCCGACCCCTGCCGGGCCGCCCTGGGGCTGCGGCGGTGGGTGCGCGGACGGGCCCCATCCGTGCCGAGTTCAGCCTGGGTGGCAGCAGGGGGCGGGCGGGGAGAGGGAGGGTCCCCCTGGGCGGGCCGCCCGTGCGCGAGGACATGTGAGGAGCTGGCGGGGTCCCCGGGCAGGGCCATCTCTGCCGGCGGCCGGTGAGGGGGGAGTGGAGGCCCGAGGCCGCCTTTCTGGCCCGGCGGGGGGCGGGAGGCAGGGAACACGTCTCCTCGGTACTTTGGGCCTCGTGTGCAAGGATGAGAGGGGCCGGGAGGGAAGGCGCCCCCCCCCGCGGTGCCCGGGGCGCCAACGGAGGCCCAGGGACAAGGCGGCATCCGCCTGCCGCCTGGGTCCGGCCGAGCCCCCTTTCGGGCCTCCGAGTCTGGCCTGAGCCAGGAAGGTTGCTGGCGCGCTCAGCGCCCTCCTGCTTGCCACGGGGTCGGGGAGGGTCGCTCCCACCTCGCGGGGCTGCCGGGAGGGTCCAGCGAAGCCCGAGGGCCCCTCCCCTCCTGTGCAGAGACCACCATGCTTGGCCCCCGCCCCCCCAGCAGAGCAGCAGAGCCGGGCGGAGGCGGAGGGCGACGGCCGCCGGGACCGGGCCACGCCGGGGCGCTGGGAGAGCCGAGTCCCGGCGGGGTCTGTCTGCGCCCAGCCCGCCCCAGGGCCCCGGACGGCCTCGTGTTGCCCTTCGGGCTCGGGCTGTGGAGGGCTCCGGGTCAGGGGGTTCGGCGTGAGCACCGGTGGGGGCCCAGGAGGTCGCCCGCAGGGCTGCAGGGGCGTAGGGCGCGCAGCAGGGAGTGGTGAGGCAGCGGCCAGCTGGGGCCAGCAAGTCCTGGCCAGAAGCTGCTGCTCTGCCAGCCCTGGGCTTGTCGCTCTCCCCGCAGCAGCCAAACTCCAGCCACAGTTCTGAAAGGTCCATGCAGGGGGCCGCAATGCAGAAGCCAACCAGGAAGCCCACCTGGGGGGCAGGAATGCGGATACCTGCCTGGAGGACTCAGACAATGAGCCTCCCCCCTCCCCCTACGAGTCTCCACTCAGACAAAGAACCTCTACCTGCCCCACAAACTTTTCCCGCCCTACGAGCCCAACTACCCACCCGACCTCTCCTCGCCCTATAAAACCCTGCTTCCCCCTAACAACCTGCGCGACTCCACGGACCCCCGCCTTGGGTCTGTGAGGTCCGCCCGGGGCGCCATAAACTTTCCCTCCCTTTGAGAACTGTAGCCTGGCTCTCCTCTCCTTTACCGCGCCGAACCTTTCATCTTGGTGCCGCAAACCCGGGAAGGCCGTGTCCCCTGGCGCCGGGGCCGCCTTCTCGTCCCTGGGACTCTCCTCTCCATTGCAGACGCCTCACACCCACCACCGGCCTGAATCCTTGGGGTAAGTCACTGCCTGACCCTCCTTCCTGGGAGGCCCTCGCCTCTGGCTGTTCGGCTCCTCTCCTGACCCCCGTACCGTACCTTGGTTGGCTGTTCGTAAACCGTGGGCCCACGTCAGCCAACTCCCGTACACCTAGACCCTGGATCTGGGGACGCCCTTCCAGACTAGGTGCCCGAATCCTAGGCGCAACCGAGCGGTGGAGACGTCCCCCTCGCTTGTCTGCCTCCGTTCCGAAGGCCAGGACCGAATCGGGGGACGCCGCGATGCGGGGCCTGCGCCCCCGACGGCCAGTTCAGGTTCGTGGGACGCTGCGTCCTGACTCTGTGCCCCGTTAGTTGGGAAAGGAGCCGACTTAGTCATGGGGTCTGCAAATTCCAAGCCAAATTCTGGCCACTCCACTGGGATGCCTTCTCTCAAACCTCGGTCCGTTGGGACTAAGGCCACATAACGCCCTGAGCGTCTCGTCTAACGCCCTAAGCGTCTCGTCTTTCACTGCAACACTGCGTGGCCTCAGTATCAATTGGACAATGGCTCCCACTGACCCAAACATGGCACTTTTGACTTCTCGGTCCTCACAGACCTCAACAATTCTGTCCCCGCAATGGAACATGGTCAGAGATCCGTAGGGCCAGGCTGGCTTTCTCTTCTCTTCGCCCTCTGCAGACCCCTCTTCTGCATTCTCTGATCCTCTAGAGTCTCAGTCTTCACCTCCTCCAGCTCCCCAATCCAGGCCCTCCCCCCCTTTCTTTTCACCTCCCAGCTGCCAACCCTCTCCCTGCTGACCCTCTTCTCCCTCCCCGCAGGGAAGTGCGTGGGACTGAAGGAAGAGGTAGAGTCCATGTTCCTTTCTCTGTCTGATCTCTCCCAACTTGAAAAGCGTCTTGGCTCTTTCACAAACTATCCCACTACCTACACCTAAATTTCATGATCTTACCCAAGCCTATGACCATACATGTCATTACATGTTCTCTTCTCTTCCACCCTGACCTCTGACCTGTCCCCTAGCTGGTCTCCAACCGGCAGCGCCTAAACCTATAAATTTTCATAAGTTCTGAAACATTACCCTGTCTTCCTCAAAAAACCCTCCTGACTTCCAAAGGCTGAGGATGGTCCTCAAACCCCTATCCAGGATCTGCTGAACGTGGCCTTTACAGTATTTAACAACCGGGAGGAACGGGACAGGGCAGAGAGGGAACTCCGCAGTCGCCAGAAGGCTGAGCTTCAAGCTCAGGCCCCAGTAGCTGCCTTGAGACCGCCAGGCCCTGCTCCTCCCACGACCACAGCGCCTGCTGCCCGACAGAGGACGACAATGGGCCCCATGCGCCCCAACCGACCGACCGCCGCCGAAGCGGCGCGCAGCGCGAACCATGAGAGAGTAGCCTGCAGGAGGTTGCGAAGTGGTGTGGGGCAAGAAGGCATGACTAGGAAGAGCGGACCGGTGGTCCTGGGCTGAGAAGGCCGTCAACTCCCGGGACCTGAGACCTTGACTGGACAGAGAAGGCTGTCCCCCCTGCTACCTGACCCCCTGCCTCAAATGTGGCCGAGAAGGCCACTGGTCCAGACACTGCCCCAACCCCCGCCCTCCGCCAGGACCGTGCCTCATCTGCAACGTCCAGGGTCACTGGAAAAGTGACTGTCCCTGCACGCCTGGCTGTGGTGGGCCAGTCCTTCCAGCCCCTGCAACTCTTGCCACCGGCGGTCTTGGGTTTGGCGGCTGAGGACTGAAGAGGCCCGGACTCATCGACTCCGATAACCTTCGAGGAGCCCGGGGTAACGGTCAAGGTAGCAGGTAAGTCCATCTCCTTTCTGGCTGACACGGGGGCTGCCTTCTCTGTCCTCCCCTCCTAATCCAGTCAAGTTTATCCTTCTCAGGTCCTGGTTACGGGAGTTGACGGCCTTCCTTCTCAGCCCAGGACCACCGGTCCGCTCTGTCCTAGTCATGCCTTCTTGCCCCACACCGCTCCTGGGTCGCGACCTCCTGACCAAACTCAGGGCTACTCTCTCATGGTTCCACCACCCTAGCGCTGCTCTCACCCTCCCACGGCTC